AGCAAACCGCCTGCCTGCCTGACTGGGTCGGGTTAGCCGATGACGAAATCCGCAGAAGGGTGAGCCCTCGTTGTTACTTTACGACGAGCTACCGAAAGCTTTCTGGGATGCGCTATAAGGTTTCGAATTCCAGCTCTATCTCCGATTGAATCTCGGGTCGCGAATCTGATAATCGAGCCAAATGAAGGGAGGAGCGTCGGAGGAGATATCGCGTGTTTGAGAGTTGTTACTGGATCAATAAAGACGAGTTCGCCTTATTGATTTAGAATGGGCTCCCGGCAAACAGAAGTGCGAGCGCTGCCGCCATCGCCGCCGCCGACGACCACATGTCTGCTCACCCGGGCGTCGCTCGTTCGGTCATATCTTCCCGAGGATCGTCGTCGCTCCGGAATTCGGTTCTGGAAAACCCGGACCGACTGGATTAATTGTTGTTTTCATATGACTCTCTGGGAGCTCGCCGACTCCGCCACCTTGTCTCACCGAAAAGCAAACTCAGTGAGATCCGTAATCAGTCAGCGACAAGTCGAACTTCTACGAATCAGGAAAGTCACCGTTTATCGAATTCAAGTTCCTCAGTTCTTGAGCCACCACCTGATGGAGCATTTGAGACGTTTAGCTCTCGATGAAGATTCTGAATCATTCGCGTGTAAGAAATGAATGATGCCCGGAGTTTTTCCGCAGCTCTCGAAGCTCGTGCTCAGTTCACATAGAAGAGGAGTCCCGAGCGACTCATCACGCAAACTCTCCCGGCAGCGGGAATCTCCCACCGGTCACTGAAATGAGCTATTCAGAATCTAGTTGAAATTCAGGAGTCGCCGGGAAGATTCAACCTCGCATCCACGGTCGATCCCCCCGAGTCGCGGTCTCTCGGCACGTTAAGCCATCTCTGCACCGCCGCTGTCGAGGAAAATGCTCGGTACCGACGATTTGGGGGTCTCGATTTTATAGCCTACTACTTCGGGACTAGAGCTCGTCTGTTGTCCACCACCGATGCGTGAATGGAGAGTGTTCATTGCGAAATCTGCTTTGAACGGGAATCGATTCAGCGATCTCAAAAACTAAATCCACGATTTGTCCTAGGGAAATCGCGGATATTTCGAGTCTGCTGATCTCATCGCATCGCTTCTTGCCGATCATTGAACGCATGGGAGAGGCGAACGATGATGCATGCGGTGTGCGGGTGGTGGCGCAAAGAGACCAGAGTACAGTCAGTGACACAATTTGTGAAACGAGGGTATGAATCTCATTTCTGGTCTCTCTCTTAGAACACGATAACTGGAGAGCTCTGACTTATGTTGGCTGCGCTCAGACTGGCGTTCAAGGGTCCATCTGAACGATTAAGCGTTTGTTCAAGCAAACGTAGAGAGCCAGCATTGAGATTTTGTTTACCGTCTCCGGGGACCACTTTGGCCGATAAGCTCTACTCACTTCTCGCGCCGTCAGTACGTGAGATAAAGTTCCCGTCCCTTGAACTTACCTCCACGTCTCCTATCCTGAAGAAGTTCATCGCTGCACTTGTGTCGTCGTCGTCGATTGGAGGGCACAAACAGAGATTCTGAGAGGGATTCACGTCACGAGCGTGCTTGAGCTCTCCTCCTTGAGAACTGTCACAGCTTATGATGTCGTCTGTCGTTTTCGTTTTTCGGTCGGAACCGAATGCAAGTATCTGAACTAGAATTTCTAGTTCATCACCGACAACATCTCGGTCTACATGCTGTACGGCATCGTCGACACAGACGGCGCGGAGCAACACTACAGCGTTATCTTTCCTCTCGCACGAAATTCGTTTTGGAAAATTCGCCTCCATTCAATGGACAGACAGAACAGCTATCAGAATTCTCTAAATCCGTCGACCCTTTCTGCAGAAAGGGATCTTCGCTGGGACAAGAAACGTTCTTTCACACATGCATGCTAACACATCCGAGAGAAACCCAACGAATTGAGAAGATGGAATTCATTGCTCCCTGTACGCTTGCATCTGGGGCTTCTGCAAGTCTCGTCGGAGACACTCATTGTCCGTCATAGCATCCGGACATTCGAGCAAGGGCGCGATATGTCAAAGAGTGCGATCGAACGCGATGCCAATGATGACGCTGATTCCCTCCGCAGTCCCGCTGACAAAACGGCTTGCGTGAGCGGCCGATTCTCCCCCATGACGGTCTCTCTCAAGGAAACCGAAAGCCGCGTCCATCCTCATCTTGACTGAAGCCCTTCATTTGGGTGTCGAGAAAACATAAAGTGTACAAACGAAGAGATACCGCCATCGGAATCCCAGACTTCCCCGCATGAGGGAGCTTCCTGCGCAAAATTTCCAGATCGAGGACTTCCAATCGAGCGGTAAAACAGGATCAGTGGCCGCGGCAAGAATCAGTGCGAAGCGAATGTCGGCGGGGAGCTGGTCGGGACCCTCGAGGGTCAGAGCAACTCATGGAATACACTCGACGCGGGCATTCAAAATCGCGCAGACAAGCTTCGGCGCCCTTCAAATCGAAGAACTCAAAGAGGTCCGAGGAAATGATACATTGCGTTGAACTTCGTTGGTGAAACCAAAATGTCTCGCGTTCCATCTCTCCTCTCTATCACTCCCATCGGGATCTTTGCCCACGAGGAGTTATATCGGAGATCCTATGACGCTCTTCGTTTCCGCCGCGGAATGGGTGAGGAGAAGCAATCATCGTATTCGTGCAACGGCCGCCAAGTTCAGAAATTTTAAGTCTTGGAGATCTTTGCAGCTCGTTGCTGGATGAGGCATTTTCTTCCACCTCCGTCCGACCAGGCCGGCCGATTCTCAATTTCCTCTCTCGATAAATGTGTTTGCGTGGCTTTCTTGTAGCGTGTGTGTACGTCGACGGCTGTTTCGTTTCGGGTGACATTTTTCACTTCTGGACAGCAAGAGCTGGAACGATTTGTTCGGCTTAAGAGAATCTTGAAGCGTCGTAGAACGCGCCCTGCCAACATGCCGAGGATTAAAAGTCGAATTCGTAGTTTTGCTTGCCTCACTGTCTACCTGCCCGTCTCCTTCCCTACCTGCTCGTTCGCTTTCATGCCTGGCACCAATTTCTTCTCTAGATTCATTGAAAGCGGAGAGTGACTCTCGGTCCTGAACATCCAGGCTAAGCTGCGGAGTCGTGTACAACTGCCGCGTAAACACAGGTGGAGATGCATATTCGTGGACGACAACACTGAGAGTCTCTGTTGTTTTCTACGTCTCCGAACAGTTCGACTCTTGAAACGGAGTCACTCTGTAGATAGCGACTAAGACAACGGGTCTTCGTACAGAAGACGGCGACATCTCGGATTACCGCCGAGCTTACAACCGGCTCATACTGCGACTGCGCCCCGGCTCGAAGTCATTCAGAGCAGGGGAATTTCACCATTCCGGCCGTCTCTTGCCGTTTTCATGACGACTTCAGAGAGAGTGCTCAAGCGCTTCAATTATTCCCGTCCTGGCTCCAAGATTATGATTCTCCGGGATTCCCGAATTGTTGGAAGCATTCGACAACTTCCTCAATTAGTACCAGGAGAGCTCCATCTTGATTTATGTACCCCTCCTTGAAGTATAGTCGCGGAGCTGATCTCTGAGGGCGCTCTCTCACTGAGACCTGAGCTGATGAGAGCACAGCCTAACGAGGGATCCTGTGGATGAGAGACAAGTCCGCCGAAAGAGCGTCACTCGGGTGCGCCGTGTTTCTGCTGAAGGAGGCCCTCCGTCTTCGAAACTTCTCGATGCGTTCTCCTCCGCGGGACGCGAGATGGAGTAGGGCGTACCTTCCAGAGGGGTCCCAACGGTGTCCGAGCAGCGAGTGCTCGAGCTATGAGCGCTGACGAAGCTGAAGATTTTTTTACGGTTTCCTGCAGCGTCGGATAGGGACTGCGCCGTGAGTGAATATCGATGGGAGTTAGCTCGGAACGAACGTACGTACATTCAATACATATACAGATAGTAGAGAGGCAGAGATTCTGGACCCGTTCCGCCTTGCAGAAGTTCGTGTGGGGCTCCGTGCGATGTCGAATATTCAACAATATCTATATTCCGTTTCTTTGCTGATGTGAGACCCTCGGCTGCCATCGCATAATTCACTAGACTTCAGAGCGAAAATATGTACTTTCGTCCGGTGACGAATTGGCTCTACACAGCCGAAGCAGACGCTCGCGAGGTTCTACGCCTTTGTGGAGGCCAGGTTGAGAACCACCGCAACGAGAGGTATCAAGCGAATGATAGTTCCAGTGGAACCATTTCTAATTGGGAGGCTTTAGAGACTGGCGCCCAGTGTCTTCATCGAGCTCGTAGAGGACCTCCTAAGGGGTTGATTGAGTCCCGGAACCGGCAAGAATACGCTTCGAAGCCCTTCCGTGAGCTGATTCTCAGATCGGGATCCCAGCTTCAATGAAAACCTCAGTTTCGTGTTGACCGAGTGAGGTCCAGTGTGAATGCATAGCTCAACCACGTTCCGGGACCCATTTTCTAATCATCCGTGCTCGCGGTCCGTTCGCAGATGGCAAGCTGCGCAGAGGGGCCGCCGTCGAGAGCGATGCTCTATCCGCGCGAGGAAGAGGGCTCCGAGGAATCTGAGGGTTTGTTGCTCCTCGAGTCGGAGGTGGCCGTCGAAGATTGAACACGCGATGCCTGAGAAGCTGAGAGGTGGAGAAACTACAGAAGTATCCTTGGTACATCCGCGAGACATTTTTTATTATAATACACATCCTTCCCTCCATGAACAGCGAGAATTCGGCCTGTGATTCAAGAACGACTGGCAGGTTTTTCTGACCATCCGCTCGTTGGGACTCGTATTCGTGGTATAAAAATAGAGGAGCTCGAGAAAGTAAGGACCTCGACCTCCCCGTCCGTAACGATTCTCCCGTTTGAAAAGTCGCGCGACAACACCGGTCCTGCTCGTCGTTTCGTCCGTACTTATATCTTTCACTCCGGGGAAACTCATTTCATGCGTCGGGGACGATCGAGTTTTCTCGAGGATAGCCCACCTTCGTCGACCTCAGCCTCATCTGATGAATTTTAAATAGCACAGCGCTATCAGAATTGCGCATTCAATGATAATGATGAAGATGAGAAACATCTTATTTGAGATCACATTGTAGCGTATGGCGCTTATCAAACGACCGGCTCTCGTTAGCTCGACGTCAGCGTCTTGTAGTCGATCTCTCGTTCTGATGAGCTGATCCCGTTGGCCGCGGAGACTCGTCCCAACCTGGAATGAGGGCACTGTCATGTCGAGCTCCCTGAGCTCCCGTCGTAGCTCCTTAGCGGCTCTGACGATCAGTGCGCGCGATGATCTCCGAGGGACCATCTCCTGCACTCTATGCACTTCGCTCGACGGTGCATGGCGCGGTGATACAACGGTAAGCATCACGAGTTATTTGGGAGCTCGCGAGAAATCATTTCACCGGATACAGAAATGTTTCCGGAAGTGGAGCTATGAGACTGACCTCTTCGCCGATTTGCTCAGTGTCCGTTGCGACCCGAATAGCTCTACCGAGGCCGCCTGCCTCTGGAGCTGGTCGGGCAAACTCGATCTCATGACGGTACTGACGTATTTTCCCCTGCATCACGGCTGAAATCGAACGATGCGCCAATATAAGCGTCACAATTGCTCAGAAGTCGACTAGATTCGATCAACATTCCCCTGATCCGCGAGACACCCCTTTACGGATTCCGAATCCCTTCCGACACCTGTGGACGGAAGGGGACTTGCGTGCGAGCCGATGAATGAGGTCTGAATTCGCTTCGATGACGTGAGGCGTACTCCGAAAATCAAGCGAGATCAAGATAGAGAGAGATCTCTCTTGCGATCTGGAAATATTGTCTCCCGAGCATGTTCACCTTTGCTTTCTGGCGGGGCGTCTTCGAGTTCCGCTTCCATCGCTCGCAGAGCCGTTTTCGCCCTGAAGGGATCATTTCAGGGAGGTTACAAAGAAACGGCTCGGAGTTCGATTGCTCTGAACGAAGTCATTTGACGATTACTTCCAGGTATCAAGCGGATCCTGGGCCCGGACTGATACCTACTTCTGTGTGATGGAAGAGACCAGGTAGATCGGAGCCCGCTGGAGCTGCGATAAGAGTCCGTCCAGCTCATCCTCCAATTGATTGAAGACGGCGGTGGTCATGCTGTTCCAGAAACGCTCCGGCGCAGATTCTCACATTCCCTCACTGCAACTTCAATTGACGATGATGTTAAGCTATGGACTGACACGAGACAGGAACTGATCTGAGGGATGCGATTGCTGACGAATGAGAATAGAAAGGCAAAGTCCTCTTCGAACATGGAGATAACATTTATTTTAAAATCCAACAAGTCAATTCGTGTAAGATAGGCAAACATCACTGTTTTTCTCAGATGACTGCCGCCGCGACCAGTGAGCCTCGTCGAAGAACGCTGATCCTTCACTTTGACGCGGAAGATTTCGCAGGTCATAGAACTCTCTTCCAACCGAATGAATAAAAATCCATATATGACTAGGACAATCGAAAGTCCAGCTTTCGAGAGTTGACCACCGTCGCGGGTGGGGTCTCATGGGAGATTCGATTCTCATGGAACATTTGGTTTCTTCCTATACCGATGTGTTCGTCCAACCGCTCAGTGATTTCTCGAGTATGAAGCTGGGGATACTCCTCTCCCGCAGTTCGATAACTTTCTAGTTCTAATGATCGAGAATCCGCAGGTTGCCGGACATGATCTTATTCTCGAGGATGGCGCCTGGTGGTATATCGATGCGGTCGCCGTGATTCGCGATGACAATCACCGTGCCGCGAAGAACGACGCCCTTCCCGAACGTCACGTCGCCGGAAACCGTCAAGTGATCGAGTTCTAGGATATCGGGGATCGACGCAAACCTCTTAAGGAACTCCCTGACTTTGGCGAAATGTCCATCGCCGAGTTTGATCAGAGGTACCGTCGGGAATGCACGCAAGGGGCTCATCTGCAAAGAGCCGTTCCTCATCGCATACAGATTACTCATGGCCAACATCAAGTCGGAGGTTTTCTTCACGGGGAGGAAACGCGACCTTGGTACATTAATGCCGAAAGAGTTTGAGAAGTCTTTTATGGCAGAACCCGCGGCGGTCTCGAGCTGGACTATATTTGTACCATCATCCAGATGCTTATGGTTGATGATAATTTCCATGGAAAGCGCGTGTGTTTCCACGGCTTGCTTGATGCGATCCAGGCGGATCCACAAGTTGTTCGTGTTGAAAATTTTGAATTTCTTCACCGATTTGAACTCATCGACGTGGTCCAGAGGCACCTGAGCGATCTCGAGTAGTCGTAGCCGCTTCTCGTAGCCTATCAGAGTTCCTCCCTTGACGTCAGCACGAGTTTTCTCTGTCACTTCCATGACGAATTCGGGCTTCTCTCCCTCCGTTGGGTGCAGGAGACAATTGAGAATGTTAAGATCCACGGTGGCGCCGAGATTGTCAATATTAGAGATGAACACATACTCCCGCTTCTCTTTGAGAAAATGCTCGGCCAGACCAGAGTTCACGAACGACTCGTAGAAGTCACCGTGACCTGGAGGGTAGAAGTCTTCCACGCCCGGATTCATAAGCGAGGTCGTGATGGGCATCAAAGTTTCTTTGTTGATGCGCGGGTACCTCGACTGAAGGAAGGTGAAAATTTGCACTTTGAAGCCTTTGTATTTGCGGAGGATCTTGTTCGTGTCCTCGTCGGTGTTGAACGAATTCATCAGCACCAGCGGAACTTCGCAATCGTAGGTTTTGTTGAGATACTCGATCTGCTGCACGGTGAGATCAAGGAACGTGAGGTCGTTGCGCACAGGGATCGCACTTTTCGGTCCCTGGCATCCCATCGACGTTCCGAGACCGCCATTGAGTTTCACGACGACTAATTTTGAGAGCATTTCTTTGAGCTTAGCGTCAGCTGGTTCGGGTAATGTCTTGTACTCCTTGATCGCTGTCGCTGGCAGCGGCTCTATACGGTCCCAGGCGATGGTTGACGTCGAATCGGACATGAAACGCCCGTAAAGTCGTTCGAAGCCAGCAAATTCGGCTTTTGTAGTTACAAGCTGAGCTTCGGGTGCCGTTCTCAAGAGCTTGTCCAATTCGGTTGACATGGCTGAGCACGCGTCCATCTTCGTCATGGCCTTGAATTCCGCACTGTCCGAAATTTTGCGATGATGCCCGAACGCAACTTTTAGCTCCAAGTGACTCATATCGCCAGATGCTGCCATCTGGAATCGGATGGAGAGAGGCGCCATTAGCATCAACACATTACGAGGAGGCTGACGCTCTGATTTGACATTTCGGAGACGTGCACCACCGGACTTCCAAGCTGACCGGGAACTCGCCAAACCAGTCTACACACCAAGACAAACACGAAACATAGGAGATCATCGAAAACTCGACCCGATTGTTCTCAGTATTTTGCCTGAGCATCGAAGGGGATCATCTATTCCCTTGACGTTGTGGCTTTACGAGAACGGTCAGGTCGTCGAGGGAATAGCTAAGGAATCCTCAGAAGGACCCGCGCGCCTATGAAATCATCTTCAACGAACCCATGTGCAAAATCAAGATGGCATCGACCAATGCCTCATGGACGATACTCTCGTCGACAAAGGAACTCGCGGTAGTTTGCGCGCGCTATACGCGACTCCCGATCGGGCCTGTGTTCCATAGATCGAGGGAGGAACTCGCACAGCCAGGAGGAAGATCGCGACTAGGGTACAACCTCGAAGAGAGGTTCAGGGCAGGTCGGGACTGCGCCTCGTGCGTCGTCCCCATCGGGACAGACCTGCTCCGCACGGAAGTGCCTGTGACTAATCATGGATTCCGCATGCGAACAATATGTCAAGAGTCAAGAGCTATGGAAAGACGATTCTCGTCAGCTCGGAGCATATCGATGAGAAGCGCTTAAGAGTTCCTCATCAAAAGAAGCGCGACTTTGAGTCACGAACTTACACCAAAAAAGCTAGTCGGGTCAAAGGCTGACCTTGCAAGTTTCGGAGGGCGATGTCCTCTAAGGAAAGACTGCACAGCAAGCACTCACTGCATTGATGATTGCCTAGCTTTCGCTAAAGAAAAAAAGGCGCTATATCGTCAAGAGCCGGATGTCAGCTCTGGAAATCGACAGATTCTTTGGCGCAATCGGTGCAGGCAGGGCAGGTTAGCCGGATCTACAACTTACTCCCGGAGTGGCGCCTTCCCTCGAACGTCGGTACGAATCAACGATCTGCGGGGGCGACTTCCACCGCTGCAGAATCTTCTTCCGTCGGATACCCTCAAGGAGAAAGTAAGCGAACTCTTTCGAATATCGCCTGCTGCGCGTATCGACTCGGGGCACTGGGGAGAGCCAAAAGCGCTTCTCTGTCACACTCAGGTACGCTCGTATGGAGGAGGCTTCTCAGAGGAACCAGTCACTCCGGGGCGCTCAGATTTCCATGCTCAGATATTCGGCGTTGGAATCCAGTCTGTCCGGGATAGCGAGGAGAGAATCAGCTGGTTTTCGGAGTTCTTCCCGGTCCTCGCCGGTATATCCAGACTGGTCGAGGGTGGTCTGCTACTGCTGAGCCCGGCATTCGAGTCGGGCCAGCGGAAAACTTATGGGTCGAAGGTCAGATTCTCAGGATGATTCTACCCCCAGGCACTCAATATTTATCCTTCCCTCCATTGGGGGACTAGAAAACGGATATCTTGAGCGGTGTCCCTGAACAGTGGGTACACGCGCCCTCCCTCGATCAGCTCCAGCTTCATGAGACCGCGATCCGGTGCCATTGAACCCACCGTTTCCGCGGCATCCCATTACCCCTCATAATGAAGCGAGAATATTACAATCATCAACGGGGATGGGCGATATATAGGTGGCTCGATTGGAAAGTGCTGCCGAGGGCGTGGGGCTTCGGGGGTCAAGTGGACCAATATCGATGGGAGCGATGGTCGAGAAGGAGCTCGGAAGGGTTCTCCAACGGAATGTTTCCGTCAGTCTCACCCAGGTACTGGAGAACTCAGTCCGAGTCATGTCGGCATGCGGACGAGAAGCTGGAGGATTCTTCTTCCAGAAACGCTTCGATGTTTCGACGATCTCCCAAGAAATCGAAGGCCCAGGCAATCCCCGGTATTTCCGCGGCAAGTTCCGCAGGGTTCCGGGTTCTGGGACCCCTATCCACTCACGGCCGTAGTAAGGAGGGTTCTTGCGAGCCGAGGCACGATGAAGACATAATAAATAATCTGATTGGGCTCATTATCAGCGGCGTTCTGTCTCATAAGGGAGATTGATTGATTCGCCCTTCTCACGCTCCGCCGTTCGGATTTTCGACTCTCCGCAAGGGTCTTTTCCCATCCGACGCCGACCGCCTTCGAGTACGACCTACTGCGTTCTCGCATCCTCTCAGTCAGTACCGGTCAGCATGTCCGGGATTCTCTTGACCGAAAGTTCTAACGGAACTCATGTTAGGAGCCTCTGGAAGCGTAAATGCAAGACGTATGATATCGACCTGTAGCCGAGCCGTTTCTGTGAGCCACTCAGTCACTCGGAGAACTCCGAAAGATCACGGAATCCCGGCTCCTCATATGATATCAAGGTCTCCCTGCAGAGTCAGAGGATGCTGGTGACGTAGGGCGAATTTCGAGAATTCTTTGGTCCAAAATTGTAGGGTAGTTCTCCGAAGGGATGAGTGAGAGCCGACCGATCTCCGAGACGGCTCCGAAGCGGGGTAAGGATGATCAGATTGCACTCTAGAGATGTTGAATGTGAAGGCAAAGCGAATTCTGAGGAGCTTCACCGACGGGATCCGAGGAAAAGAGGATAGCGGTGCACCGTGGAATCCCGCGCCTCAGATGCACGAAATCTTTTCGCACGACTGATACGGAGCCCGACGGGGGAATGCCGCCGCATCGTGGCCTCACGAGGCTATGGTAAGAGTTTATCGCCCGCTTGCCAGGATTGAGGGATGCCAGGTTGCCGAGACACGGTGAAGAGCTTGGTGGCGTCCCGGGGAAGCCTCATCACCATGGCAGGAGATACGTTGAGGGGAGCTGGAGTCATACTCCTCGGTCAATCAAAATCGGTGTGGACATCATGCCATCTCATGCGTATTCTTCGCTCCGACCGAGTGAGAGCCGTGTGAGACTTCTGAGGCAAGTACTTTGACCGGGAGCAGAGATCAACATCATCATCGATTAGTAAATATTCGTCTGCGACCGCTGGTGACTGAAGTTAAGCTCGGGCTCGGGACACAACTTCAGCTTGAAGTTCCGTGCGTCTTCTGTCGCTGCCGAAGGCGGCGAGCTCGAATAGTAGCGTGCGTCAGTCTCCGGAGAAATCAATGTCTAGTCTACTGCGCTCCGTGATAAGAGAGAGTTGCGACGGAAATTTTTGACTGACTGGACAGCTCAGTGATTATTCTGTCGACGAATCATATCAATAAGGAAATCGACATCCTGGCCCTCACTTGTGCATGTCAACCTTGACACAGTTCCTAGAGCATACGGGGAAACGTCTTTTCGGTGAGTGCAAAGTCGCTTGACGCGTTTTCTGGGAGACACGTATTCTGGAATTCTCCCGTTCCTGGGGAATGCAATCCTTCCCTCCCGAGTTCTTGGAGTTTTCGCTCGTTTTCCCGTAGCGTATTGGTAGCCCCGATGTCTCGCGCGAGCCTGTGATGTCCCTCCATGTCGACATCATCGTGTCGAATCCTGGAGATACTTGAGGAGGGATCGGCCTTGACTTCATCCCTGACTGCCTCTGCTGGGACGGCCCTGGATCTGAAAATCATTTCTAGACCTACGACGGGCCCGTCGGGATTCTGGTTTAGATTATTTTCTCTCCTTGACCGCAGTGGAGAGCTAGGAAAACTTTCGGAGCTCGTCGAATCGAGGCTCCGGGATATTCCGTATGTCATTGCTGAATATCGGATGCGGCTTCCCCTCCTATCTCATTCCTTTGGAGTTGACTTGGACAATCAGGTTGCTCCGTGTCAATCCTTCCGAGCTCTCGATGGCTGGTGGAGCCATGAATTCTTGAGATGTGCCGCGTTTATCAGGAGGTTCATCAAATTTTCTTATGTCCGCCCGTAAGAGGGGAATCGGTTTTATTGACCGAGGCTTTCCGAGGATCTAATTTTCGCATGAGGCTACGATTATCGTTTGGAGGGAACCGCGTGATTCACGGGTCTCCCCATTCTCTATCGAGGCTCCTTCTCTGCCTGAAGCCAAGCTTCTCCGATAACGTGACGCATGAGCTGCTGCTCATTCGTACCATACGTATTCGCGTGTTCAAGCAATTTTTCCCAGATCTGGATGATCGGCCTGGGCCGTACAGCTGAGCTCGCAGAGAGCGATGGAAAAAACAGATGACGCTTCGGAGCTAAATTCTACTTCACATTTGTGTCCAGCGAAGACTTGGCTTCCCATCCCTAGCCGATGTTCAGCGGTCAACTTCCCCGGCTCCTTGATCTGTATCCCTTAGTCCGCGGTTTTCGCTCGGGAAAAGGAGCGATTCAGATAGGAAATTGCGGTCGGGTTACCCGCTCTGAGAGACCACTCTAATGATAAATCAAATCTTACAGTCAGGAAGTAACGACCGACTATGTCAGGTTGGTTCGACACGAAGTCGTTCACGTCTCTCGCTAAATCCGCTCTCTCTCAAGCCCAGAAGCAATTGGATAAGGCACTAGAAGCCGTCAATGATGAAGAGAGTGCATCAGATAGCTCTGGTAAGGATTTGTTCGATATTCTCCTCAGGAGCAGATGCTCCCTGGGGATTATTAAATTAAATTACCCATTCCGGAGAGACAATCTTGCTCATTGGAGCAGGTTGAGTTTCCGGAATATGTCGATGGATTGGACGCCTTGTGTGGATCATTCTTTCCTGGCAAGTCTCATTCTGGCGGAACATAAGACAACGATCTCCACAGATATCGATCCGTTTGACTCGTCGGGTTGGGCGACGAGGAAACCGAAACTGAAAAAAAATAAGCAAAGTCGAACGTCGAAAGAAGAGCTGAAAGCTGTCGATGAAAAGTATGGAGAGACTCTCCCTGAAGCGAAAAAAGTGGATCCGCCACCGGCTGGAGAATCGAAGGCCACAACCATCGACGTGAGTCCCGAACGAGCATCTCCCGGTCTCGAGCATGCGTCCCTCATCGAATTCAATCATCGGAGCCCCTCAATTCGAACTGATTTCCAGGCGTCTCCAGCTGCGGCAGTCACTTCCCAAGTCAAGGCATCGCCAGACGCAATTGTGGGACCTATTACTGTGCAGGTGATGCTCCGCTCATTTTCTGGGTTGACTTAAGTCCTAGAGCTGGTGTCAATGCGTTGCTCCATCGCGATGATACGACAGGGGGAAATACATAGATTTGAACGGCTCATTTATTCTTCCGTCCTCTCGCAACTCAGATCCGGTCCCAAAAAACGGAAGGAGATGAAAAAGATGAAGGACCTATGGAGGAGAATGGAATCCCTCCCACTGAAGCCACGCCGTTGATGAAAATCAGTAGCGATTCGGTAGAGACGACGGTTCAGTCCGATCTAGATTTCAGCATGCTGGAAGAGACCAAGGATGATTTTTGTGAGTCCCTCGCTTGTGACGAATATGACAAAAGTTTCCTTGCATTGGGACGAGATGAACAGGTCATATTCGCAATAACCGAAACGTGTCCGCGATCCCAGTCCGGAACCCGAGCTCGAAGTCGTCGTCTCCTGTGTGTCGATCCGATTCCTCGGGAGGAGCTCCGTGTATGGATATCGAGACGGCGGCATCGTCTGACATTGAGATCATCTCAGCGATCAACTCGACGCCCAGTGAAGCATTGAACCAAGATCAGAGTAATCTCTGGGAATCAGATGTTCTCTCGAACGCGCTGCGTGAACTATCGGGGGAAATGCCTGGACCCACGGCAATGGAAACTCTCCTGCACGCCAGGGAGCAAAAGGTGAGACTCAATGCCTGAATTATTGATACGCGAGATCGGTGTCAGTGCAAGAGACGCATTCGAACTTCACCTCACGAGGTTCCGCTAAACGTTCCACGTACTGAAAAATGGATTTCAGATCATGACCCTCTCCTCGGACAATGCTCGTCTGGTGGAAGAAAACGAGAAACTGCGCCAGAGGGTGGCTCAGCTCGAAGCTCGTAATCTCGAATCATGTCGGAACTCATCGGAACAGGTGCAGCAATTGTTGACTGAAGGAGATAAGCTGGCGAAGGAGGTACTGGAGAAGTCGAACATGCTTAAGAAGCTACGCGCCAAAGAAAAAGAGCAAAACGAGTTGCTGAAGAAACACACGAAAACAATCGACGAGCTCAATATTCAGCTCGATCGCCTGAGGAAATCGATGACCCAGAAAGATGCGCAAGAGAAGCTGCATATCGGTCAGATACGCGAGCTCAAAGCCGCTAAAATCACCGCAGCAGATCTCAAATGTCAACTCGACCAGGCGAAGAGCAGATGTTCCGAGCTCGAGAGCCGTAATGCGAAGATTCTGATGGAGTCGAAAGTGATGACCGCTTCAGTGGAACTGAGCGCCCAAGATCAATTCCGCTCCGGTATAGCGGAACTAAAAGCCCAGCATGCTGAAGAAGTCGACCACTTGAAACAAAAGGTTCTTCAGTTGGAGTCTTCCTTGAAGAAAGCCGAGCTCATAATATCCCAGAATGAACAACATGGCAATGGACTCCGGCAGGAGGTGCTGTCACTCCAAGAGAGAAATCAGGAATTGACAGAGAGTCTCTCGTTGGCTACCGCCCCATACGTCCGGGAACTGGATAAAATGAAAGCTTTGTGTGATAGTGAGAGGTGCGTGTGGCTCTATTCTCCTGGAATTTCCGAGGAAGTCGTCAACTCCTGCTTGGATTTCTAATGCGAAATATTCCCGCAGGAAATCTTTCGAGAACGAGATCGTCAATCTTCAGCGGGTCGTAGAGACCCTCAGGCAGAAGCTATCGGACCTAGAGGAGAAGAGGAACGCAGCGGTATCGGCGAAAGGTACAGTTGGAATGATATCGTATTCCCTAGAATCTGGTCGATCCATACTTTGAATGAGCCTGGACATCCATCGTCATCCAGAGAATTTTTCGGTAGACGGCTCCCTTGAATATAATCGGAGAGATTCATGATTCATGAGCACATTCTCCGCGCAGATGAAATCGAGGCGAAATGTAGAAAATTGACGGAGGAAGTCTCATCCTTGGAAAATCTAGTCCAAGAAGCCAAGCGAAGTCAGGCTCCGGTCAAGATCATCGACCCGGCTACTTTAGAATACATCGAAGTTCTGAAGAGCCAACTCGTAGAGAGAGAAGACGCCATCACGAAAATGAACCAGGCAATAGAGCTCTTAAAATCCAAGTGAGTCCATCATGACCCGATGAATAGGGATGAAGCGATTATGCCAACACAGAGCGCGCCTTGACAGTGAGTATTCCGAAGAGGGAATAAGGCAATGCCCTCTTACAGAGAAACTTCGCTACAACAGAAAGTTCTGACTCTCGAAAGGAGTGTTGAATTTGAAAAACAGAAGAGTCGTTTGGAGGCTCTTGAGCCACGGCCAGCATCGCCGACAATCTCGACGAGGTGAGCTGTCGCGACAGGCTGTTACAAAATTCGATGAACGATTTTCCAAGAGGGCGCGGGGAGTTTGAGTGAGGGACCTGCGGCATCCCCTCAAGTGAGCTAATGTATAGCGGTTTCTCCTCTATCCATCTGAAGGTCCTCGCTGGGTTCGTCGGACTTCGAGAAGAATGAGAATTATTCTGCGTTTGCCGGGAACGTCAATTCGCCGAGCGTCCTGGACAATATGTCGTCTCAATTGAAGTTGAAAGATGGCCAGGTAGGACGTGCGTTCTCCTTCGAGATTTGCTCCCCTTCTTCTAGTTTCCTCGTCCTCAATCGCATTCTCGACCCCGCAGATGCTGCAACTTCGGGTCGAACTCTCCCAACTGAAAAAGTCGCGAGACACGCTGTCCGATCAAATGGCGGAAATGTCGTTGGAGCTGGAGCGCTACAAAGAGCAAGAAGGTGCGTTCATTTCGATGATCTCCGGGAGCATATCTGCCGAGATATTCTATATTTTTCCGCTTTTGTCCACCTCAGAACTCAGGATTGAAAGGGTCTTTTCCCCACAGACGAACTAGCAGATGTCACAGAGAAATACGAAGCCCTGCTGCAGATGTATGGAGAGCTGGTAGAAAAATCCGATGAATTGAAACTTGATCTAGAAGAGGCTCGAAACGCTTATCGTGTGCAGATTCAAGACCTCACCACACGGCTTCGCAAAGCCAATGCTTGATTTAGGAGCTCCCGCGAAGGAACATGTTCTTGTTAAATATTTTCGCGGTACCCAGAACCCCGTGAGGTTCCGTACGTCGGGAGGGCGGGTACTCTCTAGCTGCGAGGATTCCCTCAGCCGTGAAGGATCGTCGAGTTTTAAGTTCTGGGGGCCGCATAGCATCGACGGTTTGTTAAGTTGCCGAATTTACGCATGTGGTAGATTTTATGAGCTATCGTTATTTTTCCACGCTTGAGCCGCACTAGTCAGTAACGAGACCTGCGCCAGTGTTTTATATAGGATGTACATATATCCAACGGGAAGCATGAAACCAGGGAAAGGGAGATGTTTCCCTCTGTCTTATGTGAATAAACTATTTGCTAATTATCGACGACAATTCGGTGTAAATCCTCTAGTTCCTCTGATCAGAACAATCAAACTGGGCGTATATCACGAATGAGGCCATCCATATAATTGTTCAACTCGGGTAAATATTCTTTTATTCAATTGACATCCTCCAACCACCGGGAGCCGGGAGTATCGATACTCTGGTGTTCGCTGACTCGGAGAGATAAGTATCGCCGCCGCGCCAATAATGTCGATGCTCTCGTGAAGAGCGTCTTTAAGGGGAGCTCGAATGCTGCGAGCGAACACCCAGGTCGGCTCCGCAGATTCGATCACATTTCTCCGGCCATCGATGCGTCGAAACTTCCTTCATAATTCCCTAGCGAGCTGCATTGTTCTGTACAGGTTTGCGATGAGTGTCGACAAGTCCTCTAACATCTCATTAGAATCAGCTCATATTGAAATTAGTCGTGTAATCGTAGTCGATTGTAGGAATTACAGCTTGTACGAATTTCAAGAATACAATCAAGTACATGTGAACCTCGAGGCAGCCTCCGCCGTCTTCAACGGTTTGTATGAGATTCTTCATTGCCTGCGCGTGCTTGCAGGGATGAACAGACGCCTGTGAAATTAATTGCTGATATGAGCTCCTCGCTCCGGGTCGACACTGTCATCGATATCCGAGTTCACGGCGAAGTACGGAGACACTCCTTCGAGCTCGTGAACTCAACCGAAGGAAGTTCCTACTCATCAACAACGTTGCATTGACGCTAACCTGGGGAGGGCCATCGAGATGAGGGTGCGGCTCGACTGTGACGGTTTTCTTGGCGAAGTCTTGGCTGATGTCCTCGTAGAGCTCCTTGGTTCTCAAAGGCTGGTGATACTGTGGATGGAAAACCATGACATAATTGACACACATAGACCCTGATGTTGCAAGGTAATATCATCCACACACGTTCCTATCCTTCTGATCTCAGCAACTCACCTCGTCGTATCCGGTGAGCCATAGGCGGGGAGTCCTGTAGTAGTTATCGTAGGTGATGTTCAGATCGTAGGTTCGCGTCGATAGAACGCCGCATTCCTCTTCGGGCTGTTTAACGACCGTTTCAGAAGCCGCCCCCGGATCCTCGTCCAAATTCTCTAGGAACGCGTCCATATCTACAGCTTCGCCATCGTCGTCGTCTTCGTTATCTTCATCGTCCTTCTCTCCGCCGGCTTGACTCTGACTCGTTCCTGTCTTATGGACGATACAGAAATCAGTATTTGTTGTCTTGTGCGGTGAATTCCCAATCAAAGCCGAGCCCGTCAAAGGTCTTACTTTATTAATATCCTTGAAGGTGGTAGGCGGGGCGTAGAAGTACGGGTCGACCCAGCCCTCACCGGCTCCTTCGTCTTCGATGACCTTGAAAGAGAGGACACTCAGTGGATACGTCTAGTGGCATTACATGAATTGATGAAGAGAGACGGATGTAACTGCCGAGTTTGAGTCTCGACTCTGGACCGGGAGCCAGTATGATTTCTCCGAGTACCTTCTCACTCTCGCTGTTATATTCCATATCTCGACATCGCTTAGAGCACGGTACATTCCTCGTCACCAAGAATTGTTTGTCCTGTAATCACGGGGCTCTATTAATAGAAAACCGCCGACCTCTCACGGGATATCTCTCCAAACGCAAGCGTCAGGGATTCAGAGAGGCTCAGTACTTCAGGTAAGTAGGTCTTGACATAGCTTGCGTCTCCCTTCGCCCAGTTCCACGTGGGGCAGGTTGCTACGAGATGATCCCCGGCAGCGACGAATTCCTCAGGCGTCAGCATTCCGCTCTCCCGGAACCTTGATTCCTTCAGGAGAAATTCTAGCATTGTTATTCCCTGTACGGTTGTCCCACGGAAGACAAGAGTCCTCATCCTCTGTCTCAAGACTGTGCTGTATCCCCGTAACGTTGATAAAGGGAGAAGGTAGTCTTAACCAAGTACAAATAGTCTCAGCTCGATGCGAGCTTCGCTCACCTTCAACACTGGAGTCATTTGAGCCGCCAAGTCAATGGCTCTCCCTTTAATCGTGTTGACTATGCTCTGCATGATGTTTGTTCCTGAAACGTTGGCGCGGTCGGAAATTAGAACGAATAATGAAAGGATAACCAATAGAATGTCTCGTCTAGGGCGTCATCTCCGAACGCAGGATAATCCCTCGGAACAGCCCATCCTCGAACGTCTCTCCAGACGCGCTCGTGGATATATCCGATGTAGACGGAGTATCCGATGGAAAGGAAGAAAAATTCATTCCTAGGAGAGGGAAGACTCCCGGACGGATCCCGTTCGGGACACTCGGTGAATGGTTGTCTACGGTAATTCCAGAGGTCCCTTACCCTCCAATCATCGATTATATGACAAAACTTTGAAACGACATTCAGTCGACTAGACTTGCTCCCTTCTCGTGCTGCAACGGGGCGTTTCGAGTTTTAATTAATCCGGTATCAGGTGGCTCTTCGACAAGGGAGCTGGCTTGCCACACATCCAAGGAGTATTTCTTTCTCTCAGAACTTGCATATAGCTGGTAGTTCGAGCGAGACCGGTGCCGAAAACTCCTCCGAGACTTATTCCAAAAAAATGAGTGAGAGCTCCTGAAGTCGATTAAGAGTCTGGCTCGCGAGCAAAGCCTCAGAGCGTCACAGTGAATCACTTGCCGCGATTTCGCAATATCTTCGAGAAAACCTCGCGGAGGTTCTACCATGATCGAAGAAAAGAAATGACGTGACAGAGAATCATCCCCTTGGGACCCCTGCACGTGTGCCGCGGTCCAACGAAAATTCACAATAGTAATCTATAGAGTATGGAGTTCACAGGCGACATGGTGTTCGAAACGTGTTTTCGAGCGTTTCGGGAAAACTTACTTGCTGAGGTAAATCCGGAAAATCTAAATTCTAAAGCACTAAACCAGTCAGCTGGTCGCTTTTCCAAACACTCGTCCGCCTGCCCACTTCGTGAAAGGTTTCTCACCGCACCGTTCTTTTACCGCTGTTGGCTATCATGAGGAAGAGACGGGAAGGAATAGGGAAGTCGGACCTGTGACTCTACGAAAACAGACACGGACCGGGATGCGTCGCTGTGTGGGATTTATCGAGGCGGGATTTGAAAGCGCTTCATCCAGATTGGGTGCGTCGGAGTGCTGCCGAGAGATTTCGTGGATCCTCAAGTTTTATCCTGGACCTCACCTGAATCGATGGCATAAGGATGGTGCGGTGCGAGTCGAGGTAAAACCTACCAGATCACCCATGATCAGAAGGACGGAATCGGGGGGTAGAGAGAGCTCCTGGTGGCGACGATAGTTCCTTATCAATCAAAGCGTATGGATAGTATTCAATCGAAGACTCGATCGAGATCTCTGACGTCCGAGAGGCATCGTGGATCGCCGAGACTAAGGTGGAACCTCCAATCTCGAGCAGATCAGAGATGGCACAGAGAGCTCCTTCCTTAGTAGGCTAAAGATACAATAATGATTATCTCCATCGCGACACATTGGTCGATCAATACAGGATTCTCCCGAGGGAGATTGTTCAAGCGACTCGGCCGGGACTTCGCTCCGGAATGTTTCTTCGAGACGCTCTTTTCGCTCTCTCATATCGCAGAAAATGAGCAGAAATGGAGTAAATCCATGGCGGAAATCGAGACAATATTGGAGAGAGCCCTGACTCTTTTATCACAGTCATTCATCTGTATTCCAGGATACCGCCCCAGTCCGATTCAGAACGAGCAATTGCAGCGCGGAACCATGGCAGTCTCGCACCGTTTCCCAGCAGAATGTTCAGCTATTCGAGAACCTTCCGGTTTCCGATGATCACGGAGAGCGTCGAAGGATCTCAGATGATCAGAGTGAATCAGCGAGACGCGCGGGAAACAGGACCCCGAGAAGTTCCTCAAGCATCGCCATTCAAGCGTTCCCTGTTCGTCCCCTCTCACCGAGTTCCCTTAATTTCTGAGAATACGATTATCGGCAGCCACGAATTTCCTGCGTCTCGGTCCAGGCTCGTTCCCCGCGACGCATCGAGCGCATGTCTTGTTGCGACGATGAGCAGCTCCCCCCGAATAAGTCGTGTGAGCTTCAACGTCCAGAATACGTTGATACAGTGACCACACAGCGATCGGAAGTTGAGGAGGCCTGCGAGGGATTGCCCCGCCGGGGACCAATCGTAGGCGACAGAATTGACCCCATCGGTGGCGATGATTCGGTGCGAACGGATCCTGCATGTTCCCTTGAAAATGCAGCGCTGAAAATCCTCCATACGATCCGAGCTGACTTTGGCGAAGACACACACGTGGCTATCAAGCGCTGTTCCTACCACGGCTTGGTTCGACGAAAGTTGAAACCGACGCCATGTCTGGAGTGTCCTTCCTTCAGCTCCGAATCGAACACCGTTCCTCCGTATTTGCTTGAGGGAAAACGAACGTTTCACGTAGATTTTTCCAAGACCGACTAGTGCGCAGATCTGCGAAAGTTGCTTCCAGAGGAGAAGAGCTTTAGCGAGTTTTATGGAGATAGCAAGTAATTCCTAGGCTCGCGCCGGAATGTCGGAGCGCGGTGCCCAATCGGCTCGCACCGAGAAAAGCTGGGGCCCCGATAGACCGTCGCCTGAACGGCCGCGCACAGAAGGGGTTCACCGGAGCCCGATTCAGATTCGAGGACATGCAAGGCACACCTCCCTGAGAGGAATGAGAGCTCCGATAAGCGTGCTCGAATCGCTACCTGGGTTCAGGTTTTGAGTTCCCCACCCCCTGCGAAGGCCATCGGGGGATCCAAAAAGCTCTAAGTCTAGCGCAGATTCCAAAGCGGGGACACTGGCCAATTCGTTCAATCGCTATTACAATCAATTCCTTCGAATTTCATTCAACTGAAACGTTTTTCTTCCATTCACCACTATTGGGTATTTGAAGCACTTTACTTATCCATTTCCTGTGGTTAAGCCCGAATATGTTGCGGTCCTCATTCATGACTGCCTGGGTGGAGAATAGGCGAGCAGCCTCCTCTACGAAGACCGCCTCGTTCACGGAGAACCGCGACCTCTCAAGGCTTTCCGGATGTGATGTAGATTCTGATGTATAAGCCGTTAATCGTGTGCCTGGAGAGGTCCCTCCGCATTCGCCAAATTTCCGGTGTCTCCGATCTTCTGTCCTTTGACTCGATCACGGAGTACCATCACGATCGTACTCGACTGCTCTGTATATCTTTGAGATCACATTTTCCTCCTCATCTTCAATGGCGAACGGGGATTCCTCGCTCAGATACGGCCACGGCGTAGAAAAGGCTCGTCCGCTTGAGGTTCACGCTTCTCTCGCGCCCACTTCCAACCTCGGAGTTCCTCGGTATCCAACGGGGAGCCTCCAGTGATAGTACTACCCGGGCTGCATTTTACCTGAACTGTCGGAGATCTGAAGAAATCATGTCGATCAACGAGCTTCAGTGTCGAGCTCATCGGAATCTACTTTCAAGTCTTGATCTGTTTCAAGTCCAATATTCCACGGATGATGGCTTCGGCGGCGGTGGCCGTTTGCCCAAACTTCGAGCTCCCGAATGTCTCCGAAGCTCCTTGGGGGTATATGTAGTAGATCTGGGATGTGATCAGATGAAATATGCTGGTCAACAAGATGAACATCATACGCCTGGAACATTTTTCTCGTATCTCCTGGAGAGTTTTCCGGCCAATCGACAGAAATATCTGCCAATTCGATTTCTCTCAAGAACCGTCGACTTCCACTTCTACCGAATGCTCCGATAGTCTCGGAATCCTTCAGATTCCGGATCTCGGATATTCCAAGGACGGAAATAGGCTTCCCCGGAATGAGTCTTTCGCCTCTCAGAGATTCCGTCGTATCGCTGACTCTTCTCGAGACATTCGGAGACCAGATTTCCGAGAGCGAGTTTCCGATTCCCGGAGCAAGAGCGGACGTGACGCGGACGATTGAGAGTTAGAAACCCGAATTACTCACTCCGCTTAGCCTCCCATCGGACCCTACAATCCCGCAATCTATAGTTCCCGCTACTCACGCCACAATGCAATCAATCGGCACGATCAGTGTCGTTGGAAAACATCGTGGTCGGAGCCGAGAGACTTCCGTCTTGAGATGGGTCTCCGTGGTCTTCGTCTTCAATCTCATGATGCCGGATTTCTTCAAGTGATCCTCGGAGGCCACAGCCCCAAGCGAAGATGAGAGCCCTCATGAAGTCCTCCTGGAGTTCCATCGAAGTCGTGGGAGTATTCTCCTTATATAAGCCACAGCGGATCCAGGGCCCATTGGAGTCGATCAGGATAGCGCAACTCGAGCAGAAGTCGTGACCGCAGGCGCAGATGAAGGATTTCGCTGAAAACATCTCACAGACGTCGGAATGCAAGACCGTCAGGCTGAAGCCGGGTTTCACAAGCTCGAGTGGGACCGTACCGGCATTCGAGTGTGGAGGAAAATCCCTGGGTTACATTCCTGTCGCAGCTCTCCTTCGAATAGACTGGCAGGAGGTCTGTCGCAGAGGCGTGTGTCTATCTAGAACAAGACCGCGACGGATTACGACCATGGGTTTCCCTGGCGGGAGAGACAAGGCGCCCTAGATCCTGGATGGACAAGAATATTTGAAGAAACGAGCAGTCTTGGGTTGAATCGTGCAAGAGCTCCGCCTCCGTACTCTGGAAGCCCATGCGAGGAACCGGCTTGCTTTCGAGATGATGCCAGAGAATTTCCGAGCAGCTGATGGGCGTCCTCCAGAGATCGTATCCATACAACAATGAGTCCGATTCAATGAGGCCGTAAGCTACTTCGCACAGCAAAAGACTGTCAAGCACAGACTGTGACGAGCTCTCGATTATGGTGGCCTGTCCAGTGAGGGTTTTATTTACAGTTCTGGATTGACTTCACAGCCTATTCCTATGAGCTCGGAACTTGCTTTGTGATTACGGTCACATGTCAATGATATCCTCCATAATGTCCGTAATCGTGATGATGATTGTAATGAGATGTGTGGTAATTCCCGAAACCGTAGTTGTGATAGGTTCCATATCTCTTCGGGACGGCTATGAGCAGGAGCGGGGAAACTGACGCTGCGGCTGCCGCACCCACGACTCCCAGGTGGAGTAATTTCCCTCTCGCATTGGCAAGCCCGATGGACAGAGCGAGAGCCACAAACAAGACCAGCATCTTGACCTGCAAGGGAGGGAGTCATCGGAGACGGATCGCACCGATTCCCCAGAATATAAATCCCGGGAGGGTCGTACGAAATCTTACCCGAGGAACCGCCATCCTGCTCACACTCAGACGTCGAAACTCCGACGGCGCAATGAAAAACGTAGGGTGCAATGAAAAACGTAAGTTATGTTACTTCTGTACCTCAGCTTATATGTAATAAGTGATTTTCGCTCTTTCTCAGAGAAATGGTAAGACAACAGATACCAAAAATAATGCAGGAATCACTCAGAACTGTAAATTACTCCCTGATGAGTGCTTTCTGGACCTCTGGCCCGCCAAAGCGAAAGAAAAAAAGTTACTTCGAAGTGGATCGAATGCCCGGGGTTTGAGCACCGAGACAGATTCGTCTCGGCGGCTCTGTTCTAATATCGTAATCGGTCTGAAACTTCTAAGAGCAGACTTAATTATCCGCCTTGTTTCTGAATGCGGTTCCATGTTCACGGCCATGCGGTTCATTTCAACCTCCTTGTATTTATTTATACAAAAACTTAAATATAATAACCGTGACCGTAAGGCCATCTTTCGTGTCTAAGAGGGGGGTTCCTGAAGAGCGCTCGTGACCAGAATCATTTCGATCCATATCTCATGCGGCATACATAGTACGTAAGCCATTCGCTGAAGTCGGATTTATCAGAAAGCGCAGAGTGAAAAATTTAGCACGGCCGGTTTTGGTATTGTGCCGACGGAAACGTTTGATGAGGGGAGACGCTCGCTCCCCGCGCGTTCGGGGCAGTTTCCTCCCCGACATTCACAGATACGTACAATCGGGATCGTCTTCGTCGACGTTCTCCGATGTCCTGAGCATGACACCTGCAAAGTCCCATCGATTCACTGCGGGCGGTAGCCTCCCTGATCCGCATGTCAAGCAGGGAGAGACCGGGCTTCATATCATGGAGTAGAATACTATCGAGCATAACTCCCGCCTTGACGTGAAATATTGTTTTAGGTCTCACATATTGTGACTTTGGCTGGACTGACTTCGTTGTCAGAAAAAACTGGTTTGTAGAGCTCCTGATGCACTCGGAAACTTCGAGCGTTTGAAATGTTGCGGAGCTCTTCGCGCCATCCCTCCGTGTCGATAGGCTCCTCCTGAGACTCGGTGTCCATTACTGGGTGATACAGCTGCGAAACGTCGACTGTAAAGTGGGCTTAGTCGTACTCTCGAATGGCTCTGTATCGGAGCTACCCGCCCACGAAGGAGTTGTTCAAAAATCCATGTTCAGCAGACGGTCGTTGTAGGAGATGGTCGTTGGAAATTCCGCGATGTTACCCAGTGCAGACTAGAGACTGGTACACACATGGTATGAAGAAGTAAGAAATGTCACAGATGCCACCTAGCTCGCAGTCACATCCGACTTCATAAACTCTCGAAGTCTGATTTCTTGTAGCATAGATGTCTTCCCCTGCGATACAAAACTCATGAGCTATTCACAATCGCTCCACCAACACTTACTATTCATACCGAGGGCGTGCTCAGGAGGGGGAGGATGGCAACGGGGCTCCGAATGCTTCCTGTCGTAATTCTCAGGCATTTAAGCCGAGACGGCGCGTCATAATTTTCCGCCGCATTCTCCCCCTAGAATCTGAGCTGTCCTCCCCCGTCCTCCGTGTCAGAGGATCCTGAGCACGCTCTTGAGTCAAGCACATACGACGACAAGATCCGAGGCCTTCAGTAAGCCTTCGATTCCTGATCTCACCCACATCCAGCCGATGAAGGATAATAGCAGATGTCCGAGAGGCAAATGCACTTCAGTTGGACTCGGTAGCCGCCGTCGTTTCCGGGACCGGGGAACCTAGTTGCAGAAGTCTTCGATCCACCGAGTCGAATTTTGAACGGCTCTCAGACATGAGTATCGTACAGGGCGGAATCGCGGGCATGAGGCGAGAGTTCGGGATCACTACGAACCTTGGCAGATCGAACAAATCAGGAGGATCGTCTTCATCCAGGAAAGCGCCCACTGACATAATCATGGTGCCCAAAAAGAGAGCTCTTGTTCTGGTAAGAGTTGAGTCCATGATTCTGCCTGCGGATCTCATGGGCTTCTCTACCCCGAGATGGGCTTCCCTTCCTTGCCCGCAGCTTTCCGCTTAGGCTGAATTTCCGTGTCAGATACGTAGACCACAGAGCTAGTCTAAATAACGGGTGAGCAAAGCTAGTCCAGGCGAGAGAGGAGTGATTTGACACGACCAACGAATGTCAGACTCGTGTCGTTCTAACGTGATTGGGTGCATCGCTTCTGAAGGATTCGCATCGATTGTCATTCGGTATATGAAGTTTATTCCTCGTGCATTCGATGCGATCAAGAGGGATTCTCTTCGGCGGCGTCAGGTCCTTCAGACCGATTTCAGCCACAAGGGCTGGAGCTTGTACAGCACTTTCGATCCGCTGGGGGTCTGCTCATCAGCCCATCCCTCGATGGGTCCTCTGACGGCAGGCACGTATCCTGTTATCCGCTCTGGCCGACTCGCGGATGTTGACTTCAAGTTGATCGGGTATCGTACTCGGTCTTGCGATGATCTCCCTCTATTCGGAGATGGTTCCCTGCTCGAACAGAAAAGCAATGAATCTGTCTCTCCACGAAAAGATCAGTGTTCCCGAAACTATTTCCCCCATGCCCAACCTCACTACGCCCCACCGTGCTCCACCCCCCACAGGCTTCTATAGGGGCGAGAATCGCCTCACGCACCACGGGTGGGGCACCCTGGCGTAGGTAGACCTGGATTTAGCTCAGCGGAATGATATAACTAGAAAATATTCGAAATTACCCAAAGTGGACCGAATGCTTCCAATGCTCGCGTTCGATGTCCGATGCTTGCGTCGTTCTGAACGATTTGTCTGTGGTTTTCACGTTCGATTTCAATCCAGTCTTCCGCACGTTATCATCCACGCTGCTCGGATGACCGTCGAAAAAAGTCTCAGAATGAGTGGGGAGCGGTATCAGGGTCCATCCCGATTCCGGAGGCGTCCACTCTAAGCCATACACCTAGGAATCGAAAAGGGAAGAATTTTTCCCGAAAGGATGAAGGTTTCATTGACTATCCGAGACTACAATTCCTACCCGGTTCCGCTAGGGTCTGACGAGCGATCCGAATACCCTCTGGTTCTTGCGAAAGGAGCGCTTTCCCGTACAAAGGAGTCCTGACTATGACAGAAACTTACCGATTGAGGCTTAGCATAGATGAATTCATCTGGCGCGTCCAATGCATTCGACCACCAAGGGTTCTCGGAGGCCCTAACAAAGCTCACGATAGCGCATGAAAACGTGAATATTTGCCCTGCGGCGAGCATCGTGGGGACAAGCTGGTAAAGCGTTTTCCGGAAGGCAAGAGAGAGCCAATGATCTGATGACCCAATCCTTCTTCACATTCCGGAACAGACAGGATCTCTAAAGGTAGCTCGATGAACGCTGCGGACCGTCTTCGAGTCTTGCACCCTGTCGCCGCTTCGCGGAGAAAAGAGCTATCCAGGCGGAGTGCGGATCCCGAATCTTCCTGAACCGGTTGCCTACCCGTGAGCAACTCGCACAACCATTTTTAACCGGAGCACGCGCGCACCGAACTGGCAAAAGGATGAACACCTACTGGCTTCTAGTTAGCTTCGCATACCTCAGCTATTCGCCGACGGCAAGAGACTCATTTGTGTGGGACGAACACATTTGCATCAGAAACGAGCTTCCCGATAGCCGCTGTGGACCCCACTCCTAACAAATGCAGACTGGCCGGAAGAGAACTTTTCTGTACTTCTATTGTTTACGATGGTTTTCAAGGTGATCTTCAACTTCTAACGAAGAAGCGATGCGCAGCGGCGAGCTTGGCCGCTCAAGCTACCCTCAGGATGATCTGCTCCACATAACCGGCGAGGAGGAATTCCCACATGCAGCCCCGATTCGGTGAAAACGGGCAGACGGTATCCAGTATTTTTTTTGAATGACAGATAATGCGTCCGCGTCGGTTTTCCCGGCGACGATCCTATCGTTATGAAGCGGCGGGGTGTGTCCGCTAAGGAATATCTGACCTCATACACTTCTGGCCGAAGATAATAAGGAGAGTCTCTCCCACCAAGGCCATGTCAGAAGCGCAGCAGTGAGATATTGACCGGAGAAACAGTTTCATCGAAAAATAAGACTTGTTTTTATTGGACGTTTCCCTGTGCCTTTGAATACCTACTGTATGAAGAGCTTCGGTATCCCCCGACACTCACGGATCAGATATCATTTTTTCTTCGGCAGGAAAATCTATCAGTTGGACGTGCTCTGCTCTGGCGATTCGAAAGTAATCCTATCTGGAGGACAGCAAGCTGACCACTCATTCTCAGTGAGCTAGCGAGATCTCAGAGCCAATTCCAGAGGCGCAGACATCGAGCTCTTTGACCTCCATCTGATTCGCGCTATCATACGCAATCGGAAGTCTGTCAGAAAGCTAGATTCATTTTTTCCAGGCAGAATAGTCTATTGAGAAACTCTGAAATGGCGCTTTCTAGACTCTGTCGGGAGAAGGCCAGGTGGACCGTGCGAGAATGGGGCGCAGGCGGACCCATAGATATACTCATCACTCATTACGGACGATTATTCGATAAAATCTTCGACATTTTTTGGCATGTGAGACGAAATAGGATGAGTAAACTATTCACAGTTTTTCCTCGTGTAGAAATCCACATCGCTCTCCACACAAGACGCTGCACGACAATTGCAGAATCGGAGAAATCCGTGTCGACGACTACTATGACCGCTTTATTACATCGTAAGCTCGTTGCGTAAGAGCTCGATAACCGGCGACGACACCAATGTGTGGAAGCCGATCGGAACTCCATTCTTCTCGACGCCATGAGTCTTCCGTTTGTGGAAGTTCCTTGTTCCTGCCTGCGCGAATCTCTTATGGCAGATCTCGCATTTGAAGGGTTTTTCTCCTATTGGAATGAAAAGAACAATTCAACTTTTCGGGAAAGCTCACTCCTAAGTAAGATCAGATATTTCTGTGTCTACGTCGGGACGACCACGATTCGGGAAATTAAGTAGATCGCAGCGTCATCGAAATAATCCTAGAAGGAATCCAGGCAGTTTTTGGCCCGAATTTCTGCTGTAATTAACACTGTGCGAAAATTTGGCGAGACTTCAAGGATACAAGCTGTTTCACATGTAGAAGAGCCTTTACTGGCGAGGGAATGCAAGATTGTCTGCCAGATGGGCGCTAGTTCTGTCCGCGACGCTCTTGAAAAAATCGCGAATGAGCCGTCTAAAACTCGCTGAAAAATGATCCAGCGCGGTCGCAGAGATGAGCGATCGGCATTGCCAATCCGAGTTTCAGGCAAAGTTCGTCGCGTCGGATCGCTCCGGCGGCCCGAGTGGAATGAATGGCTGGATGCCGACATCCCTGAGGCATTCATGTTGCATGACAGGACCCCGAGAACCTCACCGATTCGAGGTTTGAGAGTAGGATTTAGCCTGCCGATACTGGGATTCTTCAGGCTAAAGGGAACCAAAAAGAAATTGCCTCTCGTACCTGTATGGATTCGCATGTGCTCGGTTAGATGATGCTTCAGACTGAAGCTCTTAGTGCATATGTCACATTGATGATTCCTGCTCGAGTCGCAGCGTTTACTGTATGCGACATCGATTGGCGACGGATATAGAGCCTGTAGAGGAATGAACGAAACTTGGTAATCGTATATGGGCCGCACTAGCTCGAAATTCGGTGTCTCGGTCGTACTCACGTTGCTTTGATGCATGATGTCCTCGCGTGGGGCTTTGACATGATTTTCAAGACGATCTTGATAGGAAGCATACTGCCGATTGAGGTACACATTCATCCGGGCATCTGCGGGGCAAACCATTTTCATGATTAAGATCCTCGGAGGGTGATTTCTCGCTCGTACCCGATTTAAGGAAGGGGTGCTTCGTTCGAGAGACATCTTTTTATTCGCCGGAAGCATGTAGCTTCCTCGCATATTAGCGCCGAGAGTCGTCTGAAGTCGCGAAGGTCATGCCTTATAGCTTCAGCAAGCGTCACGAAGGGGAATTCCCCGGAACTCTGACGGCTCCATATGGAATCTGGAAGGAAACTCGTGTTAACTTTGATGGTCGAAACACCTTGGTAGATTCAACTCGAATTGTCTGGCCCCGTGTCCAGAGAGGCAAAGCTTTGGTGTGATTTCTCCGATCGCTCCGTAGACTGGCGAAACATCCTCGCCGACCAGTAACATCGACGGTATCTGAAAAAAATAATAATAATGATAGAAGCTAGAAAAATCCATGGTAGGCTTGATTGGCCCCTCCTCCTTGGAATGTTACCGGTCGGATGCTGATTGTTCTCAACGTGTGAGGTCTATGCGGATAAATCTCTCGCCCGTCACTAATTCTACTGGAAACTCACTCACTTCGGCAGTCATTCAGCCGCTTGTTTATCTCTCTCGGGCGACAAATGCGAATGTGCGCTTACGGAATCCATTCTTTCTCTTGGAAATCCCGCCGGGAGAGACAGCCATGAATCAGTCCGGAGGAAAATCGAGAATCGGGAGCATTCTATTCAGGTAAGAGAGCCACCTGACTTGCGGCTGATTGCTGGGGATCGGAAACTCGCATTGCTTTCGCGGTCATTGGCTCTCGAGAAGAAGCGTAGAACGAGTTTGTCAAGTGAGAGTAAAATTTGGCAGGTGTGACCCCTGCGAGATATCCTCTTTTCGATGATTCCCGCGTTTTACTGGCTTCATGGCCATGGAATTATTCGTCAACTATGTGCATGGATATGAGCCTGTCGGAAAATTGAATAAGGGAAGTGGTCTCATGAGTCCGGAGGAGATTCGCTCATCGTGCTGTCGGACCGGTGACCGGTCTGAATCATTTCGCGATTTTTGAGTCTCCATGACCCCGAGCATCGCTCGATGGTAAGGCTTATTCTTCACAGAGCGCTGACAGGGAGCGCAGAATAAACGCAGAGAGGTATTTTGGTTGGCCAAAGAATAGATAGCTCCAGAAGCTGGTCGAGAGAAACATCGCCACGCTAGAATCTATCGAAAACCGCACGTATCCAAGACAGTCCTGAAGAACCCAGGTTCCAGAAAACTGAGAGCTATTCACCCACGAATTCTCCCTTTGGTGATTGGAGGAGAAGCGGAAACTTTGGCGGAGCGAGCGACTTCCAGAAAATATCAAAAAAATATCCAAGGTGCTTAAGTCGCTGATTTCAGCTGTTGCATTCGGGTGAATAATCTGCACATCCCGAATAGCTGAGAGAGTTCAAAGTTGCTCACACTGCGCGAGCGAATGAAAGAGCGAGCTTGTCACTAAAAGCGCTAACAAGAACCGCAAGGGCGAAATTTTGCGGCGTTTCCAAGAAACATCCTAATGACTTCAGGTACCTCAGCAAGGCAGGCTACAGCGACGGCTTGCCTGAGGTCAAGAGCCACGAATTATCAGCATCTGACACTCTTCAAAAGCCGTCTTTTGATAGTAGTGGCTTTCTGACTTTCGAATGAGCACCCGGAATCGAAAGCGCTGTCCCCGTATGCTCGACCTTGAGATTCGCATCCCTCGTTGCTTCTTTCATTCCTGTCGGGCGAAGTTCCACGGATACCCAGGCCGAATGCGCCGGAGACTTGTCCGTCTCGGCCGCCCTCGAATCATATGTATCATAATTCTTAGGCACATGGACGCGGACATCGCTCGATGACTCTAGGCTGCGCTGAGCCGTCATATGACTCTCCAACGTATAGCGTTAGGAATCGAAGGAGGACGGATGTTCCTAGTTTTGAATCAGATGACCGCACTTCTACCATGCGAAATATAATCGCGTTCGTCGAGACTCCTGGAGGGCCTCTCTTCCTCTTAATGTGAAGTCATACGGTGGACTCACATGATCCCCCGCCAGCTCTAGGGCACAGATCGATCACGTTCTTCTTCTGAATACGCGAGATCACCTGAGAGGCGGACGCCGGATCGCGGCTTTCGCTGAGGGGAATTCGTTCAATGCACTCAAGGGATCAACGCTGATTCGAAACAAGCAAGGAGCTGTTCCAACTGCGGAGATATTTGTCAGCGCAATAACTGAGTATAAGTCAGCTGTCATCTAATGGTAAATGATTCTTGGATTCCGATCAAATAATTCAATCTCGGCTATAAGCGAGGAGCGATGTCGCGAGCGAATCATTGTCGAGCCGTGATCACAGCCGGAACTCACTGACTAACAGAGACGTCCGAAGCGTTCGTAAACAACCTCTCGTGATCATCTCAATAAACTTGAGCTCAGGACGTCGCAATAACCGCGCGCAATTGATGGCAATGAAGCAGGAGTTCTCGGCTCGCACTATTTTCGGGCGATTCATTGGATGGCATCCAGTCATGTCCGAATGAAATTCACCGATTGAGCGTCACAACATCGAACACACAGCAGCGCATGCTATAGAAAGCGGAGTGTACTCGGATAGAGTTGGACTCGAGTGCGGTTCGAGCTCTCCGTGTTGCTCCAGGGGTAGTTGGATGCGAGTTGGCCTCGTTGGACCCGTGGTTCGAGAGCGCCCGCGACTCCCTCCATCCCTTGCGCCAACCTGCGACTAGCCCATCGAGCTCTGGCTGATATGCCGCTCCGATTTTCACAGCACCAGCATGGAAGCCGGAAGAGTGTTTCAAGAAACTTTCCCTCCTGGATTCATTCGGGACAGGGGTTTGAGAATGTGGCCTTCGAATTCCGGAGGCGGAATTATCGACGAAACTCACCCTCGAAAGTATGCCTCGAAACGACACTTGGGGTCAGAACTCCCACTGACAATAGAGACTTCTCAACACATAATAAAAGATCGTCCCGCAATTCGGGGTTGACTTGGTCAACGCTGGGATCGCTTATCGTAATCGTCAAGAAGTTAGCGAATGGGCTTTGTTTGAAGTACATCTATCCTACGAAACAACGTTTGAGTCATTGAGGTAGGACGAAAACTATCTGACTGCCGGGTGACCATTGCTGGTCCCTAAATTCTTCGTCCCAAAGAGACGAAGCTTCCACGAAGAATATTTCAGATGATGACCCTCAGCGAGTATCCTTTCGAACATTTTCCTTTTATTGAATGGTGTTTGTACATGACTATGTAACTCCGCGCTTCGAACAACCCATCGGCGCGCAGAATGAATTTACCAACCGAAACCTGAGTCAGAAGAGGAACCGCTCGAGTGATGTGACGATTTGTCTGATCCACCGGAGCCATAACCACCGGATCCGTGCTGTATTTGTACAGTGGCTTCTTTGACGTCTTGAACCACGAACACCTAGCGAGGCAGAAGAACCATACTTGTACCCGACATCACAGGAATAGTATCGATAAGCTCGACTAAGACCGCATACTCGGAGGCCGGTAAATGCTCCGATTTACCTTAGCTTGCTTTCCACCTGAAGACCCAAGATTGGAACCGTGGTGGGAGCCTGCGCTTGGACCGTGAGACCCTCCGTGAGATCCCCCGTGAGATCCCCCGTGAGATCCCCCGTGAGATCCCCCGTGAGATCCCCCGTGAGATCCTCCGTGAGATCCCCCGTGAGATCCTCCGTGAGATCCACCATGGGATCCTCCGCTGGCTGAGTTGAAGGAGTTTCCAGATTTGAATTCCACGGTAGCGTGCTTGATATCCTCAATCACCAGCACCTGGATAGATCGTATCGTCGTCAGATGAGACGTTTACACAAGCGGAAGTCCGCTTCACACCGCATAGTCGCCCCAAAGGGTATGAGGACCGCATGATATCCGGTTTCCCATCCGCAAGACTCAATTTCTGGTGTCTCTGATTTCGCTCATCGTCCTCTGCCCCGGGAATACTGCTATCCCTCATCCCAACGCTAAAAGGAGCTCGTTGAAACCGACCTCTGCTCGCTGACTCCCCCCGGTGGGCACATATTTTTTCTGAGGCGTCCGCATAGGGACGGATTTCTGCGCCGGAACGTGCTCTATAATGGCTTCCTTGATGTTTTTGACAAAGAGAATCTGCCGAACCGACGCCTTGTGTGAAGAACGCGATGGCTCCAGAGGTCGGACTCGAGCTGATTCCATTTTTAGGAGAACCTCGTTATCACGAACTCGGATATACTTGACACAGCGGATCGAGGGCTCGGTCCCAGATAAGCCTAAGGTCTTGGATGCCACGCGACCCGGCTGTGGCGGACCCAATGATGGACTTTCGGATATCAAAGAGTCATTCCCAGGCCCCGTTCCCATTCCTTCCCATGCTAATCAAATCTGTTCCAACGAACTTGCTCAGCGGGTTGGAAAATCGGAAGCGATAGCCTATTGGAAGATTCGCAAGCTTTTTCGCCCTAATGCGCGTAGTGAGCGAGGCTGCGATGTCATTCCCGATAATTTTCACGCTCCATTCCGATTCAGAAGCCCTCTTCGGATAAAACGGAGTCCGGATGTAAGGAGCCGTTTCGGCTGGTTCCATCGGAACCCTTATGACCAGGATCTACTGTATAAGAATTTCGGCGATGATTCGCCCTCATATTACCTTTCCTTGAGTCGAGCTCCCGTGACCGCCTCCGTATGAGCCGCCGTGACCACCTCCGTATGAGCCGCCGTGACCACCTCCGGATGAGCCGCCATGACCACCTCCGAAGGACCCGCCGTGACCACCCCCATAGGAACCGCCGTGACCACCCCCATAGGAGCCGCCGTGACCACCCCCATAGGAACCGCCGTGACCACCCCCGTGGGAGCTGCCGTGACTATTTCCGCTTGAACCGCTGTGACCACCTCCGTAGGAACCTCCGTGGCCGCCTCCGTAGGAACCTCCGTGGCCGCCTCCGTAGGAACCTCCGTGGCCGCCCCCATGAGAGCTGCCGTGGCCGCTTCCGTAGGACCCTCCATGCGACCCTCCTTGTTGACCTGCGGGAGCATGTTCAATCGTCGCGTCGCGCACACTCTGCACGACGAACACCTGGAGAATCACTCGAATTGATTAATCATGGGAGCGAGCACGCCGAGGTGGGAATCGATCGACACGCTTCTCGTAGCGAAAACCCTCACGGAACCCACTTTCGCTTGGCCGGAGATCCCTTGGCTGGGACGGGCACCGCCATGTCCTGCCGCGTTCCCACCGGTCTGCCATCCGTTATTACTGTTCTGCGGAGCGGAATTCGATTGTTGCCAACCACCTCCGTGATTCTGGGAACCAGCAGCTGATTGGGGAGAGCCGTATTGAATAATTCCATGCTTCACGTCCTGTACTACGTATACCTGCAAGAAGAGTTGTGTCGAAACCATATCAAGGCTTGCCATCTGACATGGTTCATTCCGTGTTGCGATGATGTGTGACATTCTGATACAACTCACTTTTCCTTGCCCGCCGATGGAACCTTGACTCTTCGAGCTGTGACCAAAGTTTTGTGATCCGCCGGAGTTCTGTTGCGCCCAACCATTGGAGTTCTGTTTCGGTCCCTGGTCGCTCCAGCCCTGGCTCTGACTCGGTCCTTGACTCCAACCTCCACCGAAAGAGCTGCCCGACGACTGGCCTCCGCTCGGCCATCCGAAGTTGGAATCTTGCTGAGGCTGAGACCAGCCTCCCGAGGGAGCAGCATTCGCTGATCCGTGCTGCAAAGTTCGCTCCTTGAGACATTCTATGGTATTATATGAGTCTCTGAGAAAATAACACGAGACGCTTCCCAGCAAGCAGGTGTAATTATGAGCGAAGCCTCCCACTGCGGCTCCGATAATGATGATTTTCTTGCGACAGTTCTGACTTTGCCCCAAGGCTGATGAAGCTTGTCCGACGACTGATGAATGAATGAAATCGGAACGGAACGTTTGTGGACACTACCGAGCCCACTGACCGAAGTGCCGATTCATAACGTGAACGTGCTGCCACCCACGACGACGATTCTTACTTGATGGGTTTGGCCGATGTTCGCGTGTCCGCCGACTGCTGAACCATGTCCTCCAGAATGGCCTTGACCATTTTCTTGACCGGTCTTCAGAATGAGTACGGATCCTTTCTTGAAACCGTCCGAAGAAGCTCCCGAGCTGGAGCTGTGGTATCCTCCGCTCGAGCCGCCGAATCCACCGGAGCTGTCACCGTGACCACCGAAACCACCACCGCCGCCTCCATGGAAGTTGCCCGAACCATGACCTCCAGATTGCCCTCCGAAACCGTTATCCGACGAGCCACCGAGGAATCCCGCGCAGCAGGAGCTCGCTAACAAGGTCACGATCACCTAAAAACCAGAATTCCACCGTGTAATTCACACGCTCAGGAGTCCGATTGAAACACTTGAATGCCGGAGAGACATCTCAGATACATTCACTTACGAATAGTCTCATGTTCGATTCGTGAGCTTAGTCCGTTATGACGCTCTGCCGCGACTTTATAGCTGGAGTCAAGCCGTACCCTTCTTTCCATCTGTGAGAACCGTCGGCGAAGACAACACTGATCAACGAGCCGCTAAAGTGTTCACCGGGGAAGTCTGAGGGATCCCGACAAAGGGACCTCACGCTTCGAGCCTGGGATGGACCATAGGGCAACAGATCAGATATCGGATTTCGATTTAAAATTCAAGGACGTCAACCGATTTGAATGGAAGCCTTCTTCGCTCTTCGAGGAGGAAGCGCAAGGCAACTTGCGTCGTGGTCATCTTTGAATATTGAATGTACATAGGTAGATACATACGAATCATTTTGAGTGGCAGCATCATGTGAAGGGAAAGTCGCAGTAGCTCTGAACTATTCTTCAAAATACAACTTCATCTGGAGAAACCCAAAGTGAATCTGAGTAAGAACAACCTCGTCCAACAATTATCCCTCCAGCAGGTGAATGAACTGACGGAATAGAAACCCTGCGTCTAGACGTTCGGCTCGAACTTCGAGGGTTCTGTGATGATGTTTTTTTTGTTTGCAGAACTTCGCTGAAGCCACCGCTCGTTTTCCGATGTCCACGGGGGGAATTGACGAAGAGGCTTCACGAGTCATTCCCCGACGTCAACTCCTCTTCTATCGTCTGGCGTGTCTGCAGAAATTCGAGCGAAATAATAGCGAAACCTTGCATGGGGGAGAGCATGTAGAATTTACCGAGAGGGACCCAGACGTGAACAATGATCAACGGGGGCTATCCGCGGTAGAGCTTACGTCCTACGGGCTTCAGAGGCATCAATTATAATTCGGAAAAGTAGTCTAGCGCCCATTTCAGCGAACAATTGTGAGAACTAGTTTCCGACAGCTCTATTCCTGAAGAGCTCGCTCATTCCTTGACTTGTCAATCGTAGACTGAAAGCTGCGTCGGGCTAATGGTGAATCTCGACCGTACACCTTCCGGACGACTCACTCCAAATTGAGGAGGTCGGGGCCCGGTTGGCAGTCTCATAATTTTTTCTTGTGGAACCGGAGCTGCCTCCGAGGAGAACGATATGGACTTGGCCCAGAACCGGCAACAGAGCACTGACGCTCGGTGGATGGCTCCAGTTCTTCCTTGGCCCCTCCATGAGGGATATCCCAAAGCTCCGATAGGACTGAAAGCTCGAGAAATCGTCTTTTCCTTTTCCATCGCTTGTGCAATTCTCTTGCTCGCGACAGTCGGAAGACACCCAGAGAACAATTTACCCCAACAGGTCAAAGCAGTAGCCGCCGGTGTGGATGTATCTATCGAACTGAACGAGCGATTTTCACGCAACATCTCGCAAAAAATGACAAGAACCGAAAGCGTTGGCCGAGCCAGCCGCAGGTAAATCTCACGTCAAGCTTCATGTCACCAAGCGAGAAGGCTGCTCCTGGATTCTTCTCGCATTGCGAATGAATAGTATCCCGTTAGGTCAGTAGTCAGACGTCTGTTTCCCCGACGGATCGGAATCGATTAGGTGCTCAGGGGAACTCATTACAACGAGCTCGATCCTCATTTCACAAGCCTCTCGGTAGACGAGGCAAGATGAAATCGGATTTTGAAAAATCGAGATTTTCTCAGTTTATCGGTAATGGTGGTGGAGGGAGGCATTTCTCCTTGAGCATGAACGAGAGCCCGAGCTTCGATCACAGACATGAGCGCTCTGTCCTGAATGGATTCGATCCGCATGATTTTCCGCTTGTTCGATAGAAAACCGACGATGTCACTGCGGGTGTGACTAATCGATGCATCTCGTTCGCCTGGCTCCCGGGATATCGCCAGAATCATGGTCGCCCATTGAACCGTTTTTTAAGCCGCTCGATCCCAAGTCCGGGTGAAAACTTGTTATGGTTCTTTCTTCGTATTATTGACATCATCGACATCTTGAGCCGAACCTTGTCGGGTCCAAGGGTCAACGAGGAATCCTAGCATGAAACCGTCATGACCATTTGGGAAGGTTTCGGCATCGAAATGCGTCAACGAGCGTCGCCATGAAACAAACTCTGAAAAAAAGTCGCAAAAGAAATGACTCTTTCTACACGAAATCCCATACATTTCGCTTGTCGAAATTGACAAAACACTGGAGCTTATTTGTACAGGGTTGATACCAGAAGTTGTGAAGGGAATCTTCAGGGTGCACCATTGTGCGAATATTTTCCAAGTTGGATTCGAAATCTCAGAATAGAAATCCTCCGGACAGAGAAAAGCTTCGAGGCAAAAATCTGGCAAGTTGAAGGTAACTAGGAACACTTTTTCATACAACATTGACCCCGGACGCCGCCTATCACGAATTCCGCGAATCGCGATAATTTCAAGATGAGTGCAGGATGAGCTCGAATTCTTTCTTTCTTTGATGAAGTGAACATCGAACAGACCCCCGAAATTTCATATCTGGCAATCGTTGCGGTCTGGCGACAATTTGCAGTGGGATGGATTGACGGCGTTGCTCAAAGATCCGCTGCCACGAAAGAAGGTGCGGTTTTCTCGGCTAAAACAGCAAGTTTTCATTTTGTTCGATTGAATAGGCGAGGGAAGCTTCGGAAAGCGAAGGAGCTCTATGGAGCATTTTTGTAATTAGGAACAATGGGTTGCCTTCCCGTTATACGTCTGTTTCCGAATCTCAGTCAGAATTGTTTTATCGGCTCAAGGGGAGCAAGGTCGGAAGATTTTTTCACGTGAGAATCTTTCTGGGCTGTACAGTATCGATCGTGTAGAGGTCCTGAAAGCATTGTGAAACAACGAAAAAGGTCTCTTGCCATCGATCATGACTCTGACTTTGAATAGCCGTCGATTTATCCGGATACAAGTCGAACAATCGCTTCCAGTTCGTGTATTCTCTTGTGTGGGTCCTCGTTGGGATTCTGAATTTCATCCAAAGGGATCCGGAGTCTATCAGTTGTCACTTTCATGAAGCGAAGATGACTTGCAGCATCTCCCCACCGTTCGAATGAAGTTCGGATTCGATATTTGCCAGGCGGAGGAGCTCTCTCGAAAGTTCCGATCGAGAGGCACCGACTGTACAGCACGCGAGAAACACGCAGCGCGATCCTGAGTCATTTGTTCGCGCCTGGTAGGAAGCTGAATGGGGATCTGTAGTTTTCCTTACGCCCTATCGGGTAAGATACGACGATTTCTGACTTCACCAAGGGATAACCCTGACCCTCCTGATTCTCTTCAGCAACAGAATCGGTGACGCCGAGTTCTTCTCCGGAACAGTCGCGAATCACACGAATAGCCACAGAAAATCTCTCGCAACTCATGATTATTCTGCTTGATTAGCTTTTTAATTCTATAAGCTCGTCCATTCGGTGAGTGGTATTCATTTCCCCATCGGAAACTCCCACCTACCGGAAATGCTCCAAGATTTTCCAGAGGATCGCATTGCGGAATAATTTTGATAGGGGTAAAGCGAAGATGCGGAATTCGGAAGCATTTAATTACGGAGAAGGAAGATTCGCGCTGGGGGAATGCAATTTAGTCGACCTGGGGACGCGGCAACGTCCAGTTTCTCTTCTGACGACATCCGAGATCCTTATCCAGTGCGCGATAATCGTTGAACGGGATTCGTACGGTTTCGAGGAATTCGAGAACAAGGGTCGGCGTTTCCGAGCAAGGGGGGAAAACAAGGGATTAAAGGTTTCCGAGGGTATGATTGCTTGAGATAACACTAAATCGAGCGGCGCGGCGTAAAGAGCCGGTTTGGGAAGGGTCATATGGAGGGTTCCGCTGCGTTCAAGAGAGTTTTCTCCCTTGATCTTTCGCTCATGACTGATTGGCTGACCGTGAAACAATGTCGAATATGAATTAATCGTCTGCCTCGAGTGTCAGCCGGATATAACGTGTGTATCCGAAATTTCCTCTCGGCTCATTTCAGTAATGATTCTGTCTTTGACCGTAGCCTGCATTTTCGTGGGAGTTTCTCCAGCTGCAGTCGATGCCCATGATGAGCACTGGGAGCTGTTCAAGCGCCAACACAACAAGACTTACCTCCAGAAACAAGATGTAGGTCGACGAGCGATCTTTGAGGCAAACATCAAGAAAATTAACGCGCATAACTTGCTGTACGACCTCGGACGCTCATCCTACCGTCTCGGTTTGAATGGATTCGCCGACATGGTGAGTTTGCAATCGATTCCTCATCCCAGAAGTCCGTATTCCCGGTGGTTCCCGCTCTCATGGCAAACACGAAACTCGTTTCCTATCGATGCTAATCCAAAAGCCAATCTCACCATGCAACGATTATGCATCGATGTCTGGCGCTGTTGCGGTGATGTTTCAATATTTTCAACATTTGCGTTCCAGACCCCGGATGAATTTGAAAAGTATCGGGGCACTCGTTTCGAGGCGAACGAGGCTCGTGTTTCGAAACTCCAGCATCGAGATAATCGCTCAATGCACGTTCCTGATACCGTGGACTGGCGAACTGAGGGTTACGTAACACCGGTCAAAAATCAAGGAGTTTGCGGCTCTTGTTGGGCGTTCTCAACGACCGGAGCCCTCGAAGGCCAGCATTTTAGGAGATCCGGTGATCTCGTGTCACTCTCCGAGCAAATGCTCGTCGACTGTTCTGCTGTTTACGGAAACGCTGGATGCAACGGAGGCTTAATGGACAACGCATTCAGGTTCATCAAAGACGCCGGCGGTTTGGAGACCGAAAAATCGTATCCGTACACAGGCAAGGATGGTACGTGCCATTTCGACGCCAGAGGAATCGGTGCGAAGCTCACGGGATTTGTGGACGTACCGTCCAGAGACGAGGAAGCTCTGAAAGAAGCTGCTGGAGTTGTGAGTCATCAGTCGCCATCAGCTGGTCGATAAGAATCCTTTTCGTAGTTCAATATCATCAGGCCGATCCCATTGTGAGACTTTCGGGTTCGTTTCATCCAGGTCGGGCCCGTTTCCGTAGCCATCGACGCCAGCGGGCAGAATTTCCAGTTTTACAAGGATGGAGTTTACGATGAAATCACATGCTCCTCAACATCATTGGACCACGGAGTTCTGGTTGTGGGTTATGGAACAACGAGGGACGGAAAGGTATAGGTCCCCTTATGAACATTATTCGATTGATCATCGTTCATGACATTCAGTTCTTGCTCCGCAGTGCGAGCAGGGACGGGGGCAATGCGTAAATGCTCGAATAATGACATGGGAAGTTATATTGAACTATTGCAGGATTATTGGCTCGTTAAAAATTCCTGGGGATCGTCTTGGGGCCAATCGGGATACATTCAGATGAGCCGAAACAAGGAAAACCAATGCGGCATCGCGACTATGGCCTCGTACCCCACAGTCTGAATGAGCAGAAGCGAAAAATAAAAATGCTCTCTGAGAGGTGTATTTATTTTTTCTTCGATTCGTATCGTTTTCTCGTCCTGAGGATCAGAGGGTCCTCTGTGTACGCTTCAATGAAACCATGGATGCAGCAATCGGTAGATCGCGGCAACTTCCGCGCCTTCGAAACTGCGTAAAAATCCTGGCAGCGCCCGATGGGTCAGTGACATTTCGAAAATTGAATCTCGTTTCCTTCATTCTCGCCATCCTTCGCGACGGCACTCTCGAAGCCCTTAGACTCTACAAGAGTACGAGCCTCGACGCAGTTGTCTGAATCGCGAAGCCAGCGCTCGGAGACGCCTCGAAGCTACGGACTGTCGCACCGCGGAGTTTCGCGACCGCGTGCTAACAATCGAGTACGAGTGCTTGAAGTCGGTTTCTGGTTTGACGAGAGCGAGCTGCGGGGAAGTGCTTCTGCTTCTTCGACGTGAACTAGAACGAATTCCCGGATGCCATGAGCTTCGAACCCACGGACACGTCCACGGAGGCGGCTTTATCCTGTGCAGCGACAGACTCCTGCGCATCGATCTATTATTGCCGCTCGTTGAAATGGTGACTTCCTGAGACGCCGTAGCTTGTTGGATCTCCGACAAAGGCAAGGTGCCGGAGGCGAAGCCTGGGAGCGCTCCCATGGACCATGTGGTGGCGCTCCTAGAGACGTATAAAGCTCTTCGACACTCCGTAAAACTCACCCCGAATGCGTCATTCTCGTTCGCCGCTCCCGAGAAATTTCAACTTGTCCACCTGCACTGGGATGTCGAGGTTTCTAATCGTTCTCTATTTGGAATCAGAAGAGATACATACGTTCTGACGTAGACACGAAAGATATTTAAGATTCCGCTAAGAGTGATTGCTCTGAGAATCGGATGTCCAACTCTCCCTTCTATACGGATTTCGCAAGCTGGGTTTTGATGAATGAGTGACTTTATTCATCGGATTGCCTTCCGGGCTGAGTTCAGCGTCGCTTTTCCAGGTCGACCCAAAGGCGCGCTGTCTAAAGTGCGACGTTCGGTATCGCGTAAGAAGACTGATGAACTCGGCCCATGAACTCGTTCTTGACAGGTATGTGTACTTCTCGAGAAACAGCTGAGACGACAGATCGTGGAAAATGGGCAGAGAGGCGGGTGAACGTGAATTAGAGGGCCATGAGACTCCTCAAAAGCTTCTCAGCCTTCGATGACCACTCGCCAGATCATCAAGGCAGGCGACACCGACGTTCAGGAAACTTGCGCGATTTTCTTGGTACTGAGCGAGCTTTGACATACTTCAGTTCGGATCTCTACGTCGAGAAAGTTCGTTTGAATCGCTGCCAACGGATCTACTATTACAAGAGCCCCAAGCACAAGACGTACGGCGAAGCACTGAGAATTCAAATTCCGAAGGAGGAGAGCAATTTCGAAATCAGCATTGCCTACAGGTGAGACACTGCTGGCGATCCTCACCACTCTTTGCGCCCAATATTATGTGGCAGATTTTCTGGATCTGGACCACGTCTATTGGAGCAGATATCGCAACAAGACAAACGAATGAATACGGAGAGCATCGATGTCTATTATGCTAATTTTGAGGACTATCGAGCTGGATGAATATCGTTCGATCTCCCAGGACGAGGAGCTCTGCAGCGCTAAGATGGAGCCATCGGGACGATCGGAGTTTGTTCACGTTTTCTTTCCCGACCGCAGCGCGATCTCTGATTCCGTGTCAAGACGTGCCCCAAGTCAAGGTGAGGCTCCGGGTGAATATTCGAGCGGCTCGATCAGGCGAGAATCACGAGGGCAGAAGCGCTCCGATGAAATTCGTGGGCTGTAGGGGCGGGTGACGAGGTTTCGCGCTCTAATTTATAGACGCCCCCCATCAGTTATGTTCGGTCCATCGTGACGCTCCGGAGACAACACCTGTTGCTCGTAGTCGACACCAACTCATACTTTTTCCATTATTTCTTTTCTCATATTTTTTCTCATCATCGAGCACCCTCGGTGTGATCAAAACCGGATCCTGTTATATAACTCCTCGACAAGCGGCGTTCGCTCCTCCGTTATTCGTCCACTCGCCGAAAGAAACTGAGCCATTCAGGACCGGGGGCAGTTGCTAAAATGAAGGAACAATTGGGCAGATACCGAGTTTGTTGCTCGGGCCATGACAGCTGAGCTCTGCTACCCTACCCTATCTATGCCCCGCCGCTAACAATGAGGCCGAGGGTTATGAGGAGAGTCAGAAATTCTGGAGCCAGAGGCTCACTCTCAGAACATTCCTTAACTAGTTTTGAATATTTCGATTTGAGAAAAATCGAACCGACGGCTCCTTACTTTTTGCAGATACCTTTCCGAGCTACTTTGGTGACGCCACGGGGGACTACGGCCGTGATGGGGGCCACCCTTCGAGACTCAACGAAACGATCCGACGGGAAGAACGTGTTCCTATTCGAGCAGCGTGTTCCGATACCCTTCTTCCTCATAGCCTTCGCCGTCGGCGATTTCACGTACGTTCCCGTTTCAAGCTGCGTGGGGGCCTACACCGAGAACGAGCCCGCGGATGCACGGTACGTGGCGGCGACCGTGAAGAGAATACTGCCGATAGCCTTCGATCTGCTCGGACCGTGTGTTTTCAGCAAGTTCGATGTCCTCATCCTGAACGACTTCCCATTCAAAGCAATGGAGATTCCCGGTCTGACGTTTCTCAACGCTAGACTCGTGGGCACCTCAGAGCTCGCAACAGTCCTCGCCCATGAGGTTGCTCACAGCTGGTTCGGAAACTCCCTCGGCATACAAACGTTCCATCATCTCTGGATAACAGAGGGGATCTGCTCGTACGTGGAGCGTAGAATCCTGCTGGAATTACGAGGTGAAAGTTTCTGGCGTCTCGTGCATCAGGACGCTGTCGTGCGACTCGAAACCGAGGTTTACCTTCTCGGCGCCAAGAACGCGCGATTGAAATTGGTCAACGACGAGATCGAAGCCAGTCAGCTGCACTCGATGGTCCCGTATGAGAAAGGATACCTGTTTCTGATATATCTGGAGACGCTTCTCGGTGTCGAGAAGCTTCTGTGTGCGCTGCGTTATCTACATTTGATCTACAAAGAGACCGCTATCGATTCAGAGAGATTCCGAGAGTTCCTGACAGTTCTCTTCGAGGATTCGCTGTCCGATGTCGACTGGAACGATTGGCTCTATGGGGCCGGAATGCCGAAAGTCATCTGGGATAACAGTTACTATCGAGACGTCGAATGTCAGCTCCGAGCGAAGGTCGCCACCTGAGGATTTCTCTCCGGATTCCATGCCAGCCTCAAATTCCCCGGGCCGATTGATTGAGGAGCTCGGGAAAGTGGCTTGAAAGCCGCGCCTCGAACAGAATCGCTCTGAGAGACGAGATTCAGAAGAGCAAAAGATATAGAGCTCTCATCAGCTCTTGGGACTGTATTGTGAATAGGAGAATGAACGTTCGTTGGGGACTCCTTCGAGGAGAGACCCAGGTTACCCCCGCCGAGGAGTTTTCCTTTTATGATCCTTATCGTTTTTCGATTGGAATTTTTAGAGCATTTCCTTGGTAGCGCATTCCTACTCTTAGGATGTAACGTCAGTTGACAGAGAGAGCGAAACCGCGTGGGTCAATCGCGGCTAAGGTAGACCCCGCCTCGAGAGCACTGCTGCTTCGGTTCTCGTGAGCGGCCCAATCATCATCTCGTAGAGGTTATTTGAAAATACTCTCTGACACAGTCACCTCGCGATCTCGTACTCGCATTACAGAGCAGCAAGGTCGCTGCGCGGGCGAGATTCATGCGTAGCGCAATAATTCACGAAAAGCATCTCCCGGACAAGAGGGATGCGGCCGCCCAACCCGGATGCAAAGAATTCGATTTTCCGTTCATTCTCCATCCAAGATGATCCCGGAACCGTTTCAAAAAACGAGGCAATCCTAGCCGAAGTGTTTCTAAGCCATCAGAGAGACCACCGTCGATTGTCTTTCGAAGAAGTTGTGCACAGACAAAACATTTATTGATTCACGTCAATTTACCTAGATATGAACTATGTAACTTCGATCAACCCTGTTAGCCTCTCGATCCTGGCTCTATCTATCATTGAGCGGTCTTGAAGCATTTTTTGACGGCGATCTCCACTTCGTTCTCGCAGGCTGCGTGCGGCAAAGTGACTTCGAGAGAAGGATCCTCCTCCATCGCGTCGCGAATCGTCTCGAGAGCATAGCTGTTGCCTAGATCAAGCGGAATACATGAATTCATTCCGAATTGACCGTGCAAGAGTACTCAAACATAATCCGAAATCGGCTGCTTACCCGACCATCCTCGTCGAGCGATTCCGTTGTTCACGTCCCACGACAGTAGACACGTTGCCCTGTCGTGCGCTTCGACAGATCCGTCCAGCAACATTCCGAAACCACCGTTAATGACCTATCGAATGGAATGATGAATTCAACTATTCCGGTTGGGATTCGAATGGGATGCCTTTATAAGCACAGGGAGTTTCTCCTCACCTGTCCCCATCCAACGCCTCCACCGTTGTGTAAAGCTACCCAGGTAGCTCCACGAAGAGCGTCTCCCACGAAATTCTGAACTGCCATATCTGAGGAAGAAACCAGCCGGTCCACGTACAGAAATCAATGAAATTCTAGAACAGATTCTCAAGCATTGCACCATCGATTCAGCAAAGTTCAACCTCCCGTTCGACCTACCCGCTGTGAAGGCGGATCCATCGTATATGTTTGAAGTCTCGCGGAATGGACTGTCGACTCCTGAGACATCGTGATGGTCGCGACTCAGAACGACGGGACCCTTGAGTCTCTGTGTTTTGACAGCGGCATTAAGAGCTTGAGCGATCTGTGACGACACAAGGAGTAGAAGTGAGACATTCGCTCCTGACTCGAACAGCTATGATATTTCGAAAGATTTGTGGAATTATGCTCGAAACTGATCCGATCGATGAATCATATGTATTGGAGATCGATCCGTAAAACTCGTGACTCCCCGAGCTCCGGATAGAGTCCTCACTTTCATTCGCCCCCTCCGGTCCGAGTAAAGAATTCTGGCTTGAGATCCGACGACGAGGCTGTTCAGCGAAGCTTTTTCAATCCAGCGAATATTATCCGAATACTGACATTTGATGTTGTCACTGACTGCAGGAACCGAGAAATATGCAAATCAGACTTCTTCGGGAGAGGAGGAAATCGTGGGATGACGAGAACGGATACGAGAATCGATAGACAGCGATGGGAAGGTAGAGTGCGACTTCCGAAAAATCCTTACCGTCGGAGTTCAGGAGCTCTCTGAGTACTTGACAGGCGATCTTGTCTGTCAACTGTAAATCATCCGAGTCGCCCGAAGTGCATACCCATCGGAAGGGTCCGAAACCCATCGAGAAAATGTCTCTGTGAATATATCGGATAACTGATGACCCAGATCGAATATGAATTCGAAATTCTCGATCAACTTCGAGCTTGTCTCAAGGGACGCCCGAACCAGCTGGAGTTGTCAAGCACTCACCCCATAATATCTTGTACGTATGACGGATATTTGAAGCGGATTCCATCCTGGCCGACATCAGCACCAGCTCTCGAAGCTTCTAGGAGGAATCCGTTCCCGTAATCCCAGAAGCACATCCCTTTCGCCGCCAGGGCGTCGATAGCTGCTACATGCCGACGTAAACTGGAAGACAATATCCTCACAGAATTAGGAGAACCGCTTAGACGAGGAAGCCCGGAGTCGGTGAGCTGAGGTTCGATGTCATCACCGACCTCTTTTGAACTAATTTCCTGAATCCGCTGGGGTCCTTCGTCATCATTTCATTAGACTCCTCGAAGGTGAGTTCAGCGGGGTAGTAGCCACCATTGAAAGGATTGTGGCAGGAGGTTTGATCGGATCCTAGCTCCACCAGAAGTTCGCCACTCTCCTCGGCTTCCTGAGCCAGGTACTCCCTGAAAAGAACAATTATCAGCCAGAGCTCGTCGTTTCGCGAGACGTCTCGCACGACCTTGTCAGCGCACCCACCAGAGATCGACGATGTTCCCGTGGAAACCGATTGATGTGGCTTGCTCATCTCTTTTCGCACGTTTGATCCGTTGTACCAAGTCTGGCAGCTCAAAGCAAATTTCGTGCAACCAACCTTGCTGATATCTGCGGAAAAGGCATCATTGACTCAGCACGCTGGAATCCCTCTTGAAGACATTCATTGCCACCCTCGCTGTCGCCCCAGGAAGAGAAAGCAGCGGGATCTCCCCTCTTAAGTCTGAACCCTCTCGCACCGCACATTGTGATACCATAGGGGGGATTACCGTTTCAAGAGAGCATCTTTGTTGACTTCTGCGATGACTCCCACGGCGCCCGCTATCACTGAGGCCTTCGCCTGAGCACCGGACATGCCACCCAAGCCGGACGTGACGAAAACGATACCTTTCAAGGATTCCAGATGCAGATATTTTCTTCCAGCGTTCATAATGGTTATCTGTTGAGGGGCAATAAATCCTGAGTCTTCATCGAGCCTCTTCGGATCTTCGTCATCATGTCGCGGTACCCTCAAGCAGAGCCTAGCGCGCGCAGAAACGACGAACTCGCTCTAATACTCTTCCGAATTCTGAAATGTGATTCAGACAACCCAGAACCTAGGAGGGATGCCGACGCCCGTTTGCCAACTGCCGCCAAAATCATGGAAAACCATGATGGCAACGAAGTTTCGGAGACCCAGAAGCGATCGTCGTTCTGATGGCGTCGTCAGGATCGAAAGCGTTTTCGTGGAGCATGCTTTCAAGCGCCATCTTCCTCTCAAGTCTTGACGTTTCACAGGGAGATCTTTCGGAAATGCCCTGCTTGAACGGCGAGGTTGCCTTCAATCATCACGATGCTCTGATAGGATCCGGACGGAATCTCAGCGCAGCCTTCCTCAAATGTGGAGACTACTCGGGCGTGTGTCTGAGCCCCCGGGCGGTCGTCACTTGCAAATTGAGCTTGCCCCTAGAATGTTACGCTGATCCGCCTTTCGATGGTCATGACATGGCTAATCTCGGGGGTATCGACTGTCCTATCGACAAATATGGCTGCGTACCGGTCGGAGTCTGCAAGCTGCACTACATCTTGATTTGGAAAGTTCCGAAGCCCTACAACCACATTCTCGCATTTGTGGCTTTGCTTGCTGTTCTCATCATCATGCTCATCCCAATTTATTGCGTCAACTTCTGTACCCCGTACGGCAGAGCGAATCGAGCTAAAGTGAAATATCAGCGATACAGGTTTGTGGGTACGGCTCCGGATCAGTCACGAGTGATCGCTGAATGACCGTCCGTCTCATTGGCTCATTGCGCCAGACTTTGCTCGGGGAACAGCTGCGGACCGCACCGAAACGCAGCCGGATGTATCACGCGCACCCGTTACGGTTCCCGCTCGCTCCTCCGGATCACCGAGGGATATCATACTGGGGTCTTCACGAGGCCACCCTCGCGATAAGTCTGCTTGGAAATCCACTTTTCGAGATCACACCCGCATGTTCTGACCTACCGCATCTTCCTCTGATTCATAAAGCGAAGCTACACCACAGGCTCCACTCCTGAGCATGCCAGACTATTCTTTATGTAGGTCTTCAAAATTGATTCTCCGATGACGAGCCCTCTCAAGGAGGAGCCGGTCTCCGTGCATTCCTGAGCTGAATAATGCGAGAGGCCCGATCCAGTAGTGGAGGGGTCCGATGATATCGGGACATGTATAGAGAATCGAGAATCTCCAATAATTTCGTAGTCAAGCGACCGAGTATCTTGAGAGATGTCAGGCCGCCCTCGCTTCCGAACTTAAGGTCGAACGTAATCCCGTCTCCCAAACCGAAGCATCTAGGTGAGTCTCTCGAGTACGCAAGCACTATCTCTGGCTGATTCGGCGGCTAACCGCCGAAGTGGGACTGAGGAAAGTCTTACTCACTGTTGTGCCGTGTACGATGCCCTGCGGTCCGATATAGCAATAGCTCCCCGCCGTCATCTGGCCGTACATTGTGACTCCCATGGCAAACATCCGGTCGTAGTCCTGGATTGAGAATTCAGATTTGTCAATCGTTGCGATGGGGTTGTGACTCTGTGACGATAAACAGTGATTATTGCGGAAAGCGCTAACCTCGGGTGTGGAATATCCCGGAATCACCATGCCGTTTGTGATCACGACCCGGGGTGAAACCCCTATCGTTGAGGGGAACAATCCCAGAGGATGCCCAGAGTACATTACCAAGGTTTGACTATCGGTCATCTTTGAGAGGTAGTGCATGACTAGCCGAAACTGAAACGGTACACCGGGAGGCTTGAGAAACAGTTGTTTTCGCCGGATAAGTTCCTGTAATCTAATTCGCCAGTCTGCTCCATCCGCACCGAGCCATCCTGACAAGATAACAGGTGTGACGAGTCAGCCCTGTATCGACACATCCGCTGGAGTGAGAATTATCCGAATGTTTTTCTGAATGATCGGATATCCTCAATTCGAGATCGATGCCCACGGCCATTGGCACTCAATGTGTTAACGACCTCTCCATGAGAGACAGTTGGCGGAGCGCCAATTCCAAAATCGTCCCGAAATACTCTCTCAGAGTGCTTTACGATTTAAACGCGACGCTTTCGGCCCCTCAAACGTTCGAGCCGTGCCCTATTTCGTCACTTGAAGATAGTTGCTACCGAGAAAACCATCCGACTGCTCACGGGCGAGCGAACAGACTTTAGCCACAGCCGGCACCTGATGTCAGCGAGAGAGACCGATATCACTTGAGGCAAGTAGAGTCTAGGAATGGTCTTGATACTTCTTCGCCGGCGCTGTAAACACACTGGACTCGGGCCAAAAAACATTTCGTCGTCGAGCTGGCGACGAAGCAAAGATGCGGAAACACAAGGGAAAAATAACGAACGGAACAGGAAATCGCTGGAATGAAACTCAAGGGGATTTTTGTCCACGACTCAGTTATTTGAACACATTTTTTCTGATATTACCTGCGCCCAATTGGAGAAAACCTGTCCGTTGCCACCGTACGTGACAAGTTCCTCGGGAAATTGTGCCACTTGAGGATCGAGGTTGTTGCAGATCATGAGCATGATCGCGGCGGCCTGAAGGCTTTTTGCCTTGTACTCATCGATAGGAAGCGCTCTGCAACGAGGGATTCCATGCAACCTCATCCTGCACATGTTCTGGTGCACTCCAATCTACCTAAATTTGGGCTCTAATCCATTTGTGTCCCCCTTGTGGGCCTCCGAGCTCTTTCGACCCTTTTTTTTAAACGGCACGGAGAATTTATCGTCGACTCACTTGAGATGCTGAGACGGCATGAAGCGATACATGTAGATATGGCCGTAGTCTCTGAGTTCCTCGGCGAATTCTGTGGCCAGTATGTGATGAACCCGTTGAGGAAAGTACCTCAGTGCATTCGCCAAGGCGGTCTGAGGGATTCCAGCGAATAAATTAGAAGAGCAGAGAAAATCGCCTCAGTATGCGCTACCATCACCTTTAGTATCCGCGAGCTTGCCATATTCCCAATGTGGATCTGGAGCGTTTTCTAGCATTCCAGCTGACAGTTGCAGAAAATGGGGTCTATTTCTCGTAATGGATCATCTTGAGCACCCCGACCTTGCGTGGACACAGTGTTTCGTTTCTGGGTTTTTTGAATATGTTCTTTTTTAGAGCTTCACGGCCTTCATGGAAGGTCGATTTCTGTCCTTCCCATGAGCGAAAAGGAGGGAGTAGCCAACGATTCTGAACGGCACCGAGGACGCCGGAATCGAGTGTAAACAAGAGCGTGTTTGAAGCCCGAACTCCATATTTGGGCCAATGTCGCGGAATGCAGCTAAAGTTCATGGGTTCATGCGCAAGCTCCAAAGCTGAAGTGTTATGGAGTTAGTCCGGCTAATTATCGTTGACTGTTAGTATTGTTAGTCACTTACGCTGACCTTGGTCTGAGCCGCGGATAGCGGCACGTTTCTGACCGGTGCATGAGGCACATCGGGAGAGCGTTTCCTAGGTTCTGGAAGACGATCCGATGGCAGACCCCTGCACAACTCCTCCACAATGTTTTCCGACATCCTGGAGTGGGACTGTTTCCTCCGGAATCCTTATCACCTATCACCACACGAACTCTCACTTATATTCACCGCAGATCTTCGGAAGAAACTTTCTTTGAGACGTTCGAGGAATCGAGACTGCTTTTTTGTAGCGGCTCTCGGGGGAGAGAGTTTGGAGTTAGAGAGTGTCCTGTCGAGGATGGTGCGATCTCTGGAGCGAGACAAAAGAGCGAGTCACTGACGGCCGAGCAGATTTCAGCAGGAATCGAACGTCAGAGTGAGCAATCCGTAGCCGGACAGATTGTAACCCGAGCCCGAGAGTTGCACCTGGGTGGATCTGGTCTCCGCCCGGGAGGCTCGAAGATCCTCATGTGGAAAACTCTGGGAGGATCATCTCGCTGCACCATGAAGCGAAACAGACGGAGATAAGATATGTTACGTCGAAACGATAAGAGTCACAACAAAGCAACTCTCGTTCTCAAGCTGGCTAGATAAGACTTGTGGCGCGCATCGAAGAATAATTGTGTCATAGGTTTGCATGGAAGGTGTCATCGCTCGAAATAGCTATGAATAAGCCTCCATGGAAGCGTTCCGTCTCTCGGAAGCCCCGAATTAGTACGTGTCTCGGAATCATTCTTGATGGAAGCCCACTCATGGATGATGGATCTTCCTCGGAGAGTATCTCCACGGAAATCATTCCCTGATGCGTCACGCATCATCAGCTCCAGGAGTACACCTGTCGAAATGCAGCCAGTGATTCTTCCAAGCTCGCCTTCCGTGAGCACCACTCGACTCGTCTGTCGTCTAGTTTCAAGGTCACTTGGCGATGGGAAGCTCCTCCTGGCAGTCGATGTGAAGGAGGATCCCTCGATGATTTACAGTCCAGGGGTGATAGCTTTGCCCCCATCCTTCCCATGAGATCCTCGGTCTAGAACGAAAATATTCGCCCCTAACCCACCAGAAATACCTCAGTACTAATCCAAGATCATTCGATGATGGCACAAAGCTATCTCACGGGGGATTTGTATTGAAACGTGTTATCATCCAACAGCTCGGAGAACAGCGACGGCTCTTTTCAGCTGTTTTTTCTCCCAGCGCGGCTTCGTAATCCCAGTCGAACAGCCTCTTGCGTGCTTTATTGTTCCATTGTCTGTGGTTTTCTTTGTCGGGATCGATCAATCTCCCTCTCGAGAGCTCTTTGCTTTTTCATGGTGTGGGATATAAACATCTCCCATCGAGTTTATTCCCCGAGAGAGCCGCAAGAAGGAAGTGATCCTCCCATTTTCGGTATATTGTAGAAATCGTTCATTCAAGGGAGTATCCGAAAATAAACTACATGTCAAAAACAGAAATTGTGCCTCCCAGTGTTCAAGGGCTCGCAGAGTTATATGAATGCCGGAGGCGATCCCGTTTCTGTTCCAGGTACCGATTTATACGACCTCTCCAGTCACGGAAACTAGTTCTGTAGATTCGGAATACTACAGGGGAAATCGCCAGAACTCGACTCTTTCGCGTACGACTCAAGATTGGTGAAGGTGTGGCCCGTCGCATGAAATGAATAGATGTATGTACAAAGATGACGAGGTGTCCTGCTGCTAGCAAGAGCCCCCGGGGAAGTCAACGACGGCGGCGGCGCGGCGCCAAGGGAGACCGCAGAAGTTCTTCCCTAAAAAATCACCCAACCTACGGCCCCCGTAGGAAGCGCTCAAACCTAATGATAATTGAGAGGGCTGCTGCCGGAAGACAGATGCCAAGAGAGTATAATCCTCACAGAGCGGTGTAAATTACTTTTTCGTATCGCTCACGCTTATCGCCAGTTATCGACCTTCTGGAAGTTATTTCCTACTTCAAGTATCAGAAAAGGTGCGACACCCAACACACGAACACAATTGGGTCAATGGTTCGCTGTGGTCCCCCGATGGCCGCCGTTAGCCAACGTTGGGTAAGAAATGGAAAGTTCTTTCTGCTGCCGCGTCTTTCCAGCCCGGCAAGGCGCGCAGTCCGCTCCGGACTCTCCTACACAGCGTTTGCCCCTCCGGTGCGGCGAGTCTGCGCGTCGTGACTTCCGCGGCAGTTCTGTGATCGATATCGTCTTCGAATCTTCGAATAAGGGGTAGTCGTCGAAATGATTGACGTGGTGGTGGAAGCGGTTTCTGCTTTCGCGTACAGCGTGCTCATGTGGACGTTCTGGTGCATAATAATCCTGGTCGCCCTCCGAGTGCTCTACGAGATCGTTATGGCCATCTGCATTACCGTCGCCTGGGTCCGAATGGTCAACAACTGCTACGACAAACAATACGATCGATACGAGACCGCATACGACTGGGATACTAGGTACTACTACGATTGAAGAGCCTCCGCGTCTGATCGTGAGATCTGCCGACCTCTTCAATGGAAACGCTTCTCGATTTGGTCCGGATATGTATCTTGTATCAAGGGATCTCCTCCCCCTCGATAAACGTAACAAAGACATCGAAGATGCGGGAGCGTCGAGATTTCTGCGTCAGGAATGACGGCATGCTCATCATTGACCGATTGTGATATTGTGTGATTTTAGAAATCAAGTGCGGAACCACGTCTCCGAGGTTACCTCTCATCTCGTTCATGGCTTTAGATAGAGCACAGCTTCGCTACCATGATTTCTAATGTATGTGATTGATGATTGCGGATTTCTTTCGGAATGTCCACGAAAGTCCTAGAATAAATGGAGTGTACGGCAAGTTTCCTTCTTAAGCATCGAGAAAAATCCGTGTGCTTAATTAGCTCTGTGGAAAAGCTGTCGAATCGAGTCCCTCAGGCGAGTTCGTCTCGCAAAACTGGCTTACCGAGAATGCTTGTTCATTTCCTGATCGCGTCGGTGAGCAACGACCTTAATATGATTGAAGTGAGCCGTGTTTCAAGTCCGTGTCGAAATCTTTCTCGGTCTGGTCTCGTCACGCTTTGCGGTGGAGAATTCTCACATGTCTTAGGACGTTCTCTCGGGGATGCTGCGAAGACCTTCGATCCTGATTTGAAAAGATTGATGTGGTCGATTACCTATGTGAGGGGTCGCGCGAAGTTCCTTCCGAAGACTTCTGATTCTCTCAACTTCTTCGAACATCACCGGCTGCCCTGAGGATCTTCGAGGAAGAAGAGATTAGTGCATGTTCCCTAGACAGCTGAGGCTCCTCCAGGCTGAGAAACCCGGGACCTGAACATGAACCTCAATACCCGATCGCGCGAAACGATGAGTTGTCGGAGACGGTGTCGCGATTTTGGTCGAAAAAAGGCGGCTCGACTCTTTTCATCGGAAGCTTTAGCTGTTCCTGGCCGCTGAGTGGATAAGAACCCAATTAGCGCAATCCTTGATATATCCAGAGAGGGCGACCATTGAGTCGGAGACCGCACGCCAGTTAGCTCTCGATCACCTCGGGGCTCTGATGTATGATTTGCACTCGACTGAGCCGGTCCATCTCCGCTAAGCAGTCGGATTTCGGCCCTCAGCATCGTCATGCAGTCTCATCTCGCGGGTCGAGACTCGAAAAACTATAGGGGTAGAACTTCCAAGTTCTCACAGCTCTAGGACCTTGCACAGTATCATTGATTTCATTTTGACGTAGAACGGTCGATGAACTTGGGAAGCCTTGACATACTAAATCCCCCGTCCTGTTGTTGATCCGGTGAAACCAGAGCGCTGACGCCCATGGTCGGACAAGGTCAGCACAAGAAGCAAAGAACAATCTTACAGAAGTTTCTCTCCATTCATCGCCGAATCCTGCGAGATCAAGTCTTCGATCAGGCCGAGACGTCCCCATCTTGCTCATGCATTGCTGAGACTTGGTGCCCTCGGCGTTTGAGCTCCCAAGACTCGTCCAGCAACCGACGAAGCGTGTCCGCGGTTCAATCGGATTCTCTGTTCGGAATTCTTATCTTGGATTCCCGCAGCGTTCGAAAAATGCTACCGGTCAGCCGCGACCCGATCGCAGTGTTGGTTTGTCAAGTCGCCTCCTAGCGATCGCTGGGTATTACGGGTTAGGAGCTTCAATGGGCTCGGCTTCGCCGACCGAAGGTCTTCCGCTCACGGTGCTCAACATGAAACACCTTCCTGACTATCGTGAAGACCTTACCGCGATCGAGTCGGTCCTACGCTGAGGATTGAAATATTTTTGGTAATCCTCCGCCAGCCATCAACCTTGACGATCTGGATACTGCGTTTGGTGGCTCCGAACAACGATGTTGTGAAGCTCAAAACTCATAACCCGAGTTCCGCAATCATGGAGTCGCACGATTCTCCGGCAAAGGGAACCGCGGAATCCAAGCCGGCTGAAGCACCCGAAGCCATAGCTCACCTCTATTCGACACCTCCGGAGCCTTCGAGACTATCCTCCGCAGACGAAGAATTCCTGCAGAAGCTTCTGCTAAGAAGAAATTGCGGTGACGAAATTTTCCAAGAACACGTCGAATTTCCGTATTTCGGACCCCCGATATTCGAGCGGAAGCCCCCATCTTACGCAACTCTGAATAAGGTGAGGCGATCGGGTTTCTCGTACGAACAGAATGTACGATACTCTCACTCGTGGGAGGTGCCGAAGTCTCCCGCCTTATATGTATCGCTCTGAGGAAGAGGAGAAAACGATCTCAAGAGGGCTCTCTCCTCACAGATCAGACTAAATATTGCGGAACCCGGAGCTCTTGCTTCCGGCAAAGAAGCTCTAGACTTGATCGTGGTTTCACTCTTGCTGGCGTCTGTCGCTTGGTGGGTCTACCTTGCAAGCTCAACACCGCCTCTATCGAAAGTTTGATTGAAGTTTCCGCTCCCCCTCCAGCCGTATGTCGAAGAAATATTCCGACAGAATTTGATAGGAGGAAGCCGCGGCTTCGTCCCCCTGTAGAAGAATTAATCGGTTTGGCAATCAGTCGAGACATCAGTCCCCGCAGATCAACAGCAGCAGGAAAGCCTTCTAGAATGGAGTAAACAATATTCTCAGTATTTCTGATGAGGAAGAAGCAAGGGCTCTGAGCAGCTAAGTTTTCTGTCAAGATCATTCTCGGCGACCCCGCTTTCTGTTGCTGTAACTAGGCCAAGGAGTCGAAGCTGGATATTCTCTTATTGAGCTCTATGCTTGGCGCAGTTTGACTGATTCGAACATTTCGTCCCGTTTGAGAGACACCGCTCTCGCTCGGTGAAAATATTCGGAATCAACCGCTCTTCCGTCATGGAGACCGCAGGATTTTACTTTTTTGAAGCCGGCATTCGAACGGTAGCGTACCAAGTCTTGTCTGGAAGTGAGACCCATGTCCGGACATTGAGGAGGCCCTGGAACCGGTGCAGGCCCTTTCCTTTCATTGGAGTCAGAAGTTTCGAATCAGTCACTGATTTAGTTTACGGTTCGCATCCGGTGTGCACCCTTCCGCAAACGGTTCGCCGGTTCCATTGAAGCCCTTTCCGGTCTCGGTTAGCGAGTGATCGCACATCGGATTTCCTGCATCAGACGTACTCACTCATTACCGGCGGCGTAGCGTGCCGCGTTGATGCCCGGCGCGGATCCCTGAAATCCCGTACCGGGACCTCGATATGATGCCCCGCCCCCTCAGATCTTTCTCGAGATTTTCCCAAATCTGTCATTCTTCGATCTGGTTGACGATGGAAGTCAATATAAGTCTCCATTCATTATTCATCACGACCGATCCTCGAGGAAAATTCGGGTTTCTGGGACTTCCATCGAGCATTGTGATGCCCCGGAGCAGTGATGCTCGGGGTGGACCGCCCCACGGCCCCCCTCGCCACGCCACTGGTTATCCTTTCCCCCATCCCCCACTCCCCCCCCCCTACTATAATAAAGAAGCTATCTCCGTCCGTCAGTACGCTCTACTGCTAGCGACCTCGATTCGATGTCGAGAATTCGACCATTCCGACCGATGAGGACACTCATCGACCGTAATCGCCGACAGTTTGCTCCCGTTTCGAAGCGCCGTTCTTCGGTAAACTTCGAAAAACCGATACATCGTCCTCCCATTGGCTGCGAACGAGATTGGCTTCTGACTCATGATCAGAAGCGAGAACGATGTGCTATGCCCCCCTACAGATTTACATTTAGCAGGGGTGGTTTATTTTCCCGTCGAACGATGTCAACACTTTCACATATCATCTCGCTGTCTGAGTAGGAATACTGATGAGCTGCTCGTGAAATGAGTTTTCGCATACGTCGTGCCGAAGTCGAGAGAGAGATTTCTCGTGGTAATCAGCGACGGCGACAGCTAGGAAGCAACAGAATTCGAAGATATAGAGAAAATCGCTCAGCCGAAGAAACACAAGCCGCACGAGAAGTTAATGTTTTTCAACAGCGACGAACTTGAGCTAATCCAACGGCAACACAGATCGCAGAAGCATATTACTCCAAAGTCTCTCACATGGAGAAACCTATGAATGCCTGTAGATAGGCAGTATAAGGATTGGCGCGGAGCGCCCGCACGGCTGGTCTTCGTATGATCGAGAACAGGCGACCCATCGCGCCCTCTATTCGCGCGATGTGGGACCCCTTATTCCCTCCTCCAAAAAAATGTGACGCGCTACTCGTCCACCGAATCTGCTTGTCGGCGGAACGAACCGAGGATATTGAGGCTGCGGAGCGATTCAGGTCGATCGGTTATGAGCGTCTTATGCGGGAAATTCGGCTTGCGATTATCCGCCAAGTACCAGCTGACTAACACTAATATTCCTGACTCCCCCCGCTCGGGCCAAGGCCTCTCAGAAAATGTATCCAACTCCGTGAACCCAGATATACAGAACTGAACGTTCACTTGTCAGGCAGCGGATTCTAGCTATACAATGGTATCACGGACTCCGAGTCGAAGCGCTGACTGCGGAATATAAAGATTCGTACTGAAGAGATCATTGAGCTCCCGACTCAGGCGCCTCCCCGGCACCGATCTGCAGCCTGAAAAGCAATGTGCAGCAGACGAATCACTCATTTTGGGTATATTCAGGCGCAAGCTCGGCTTTGATGATCATCATTCGATAAATATACACCATCGTCAAGCTTGATGTCTCGTTTCCGAAGGAGACAAAGCTATAGATTTATTGCTCAATTCTCCTCCAATGGAGTCTCCAGCACTGAATGGTTGTTGAGTATCTCGTTTTGACCAGGAACCAATAGGATTTGGATCGCGATGGTGAGCAGAGACAAGGAACAGATCCCGAGCACCGGATCATTTCAAGCCGTCCCTTACTCAATTCCGATGGAGGGAAGGGTGAGTTCAAAGTCAGAACTTATGCGTCACAAAGATACATCTGATTCTCATCACTCGGGATCGCCACTCATCGTCTCAGCTGGACGCTGCGCCTTTTCCCAGACGTCTTCAAAAGAAATCTTAGAAATCGATCGGGAAATAGAGTGTTTCAAGAGGCCGTTCGGTTTCTGGGAGATTGCAGAAGATGCCAGGAACAGGCGTCTGAGACTGGAATGAATTCACTTTGAATCTACAAACTTCATCGGCGCGGCAGAAAATCGCGTGTCGAAACTCTTCTACGTAAGGGGTCAGTTCGACAAGATAGAATCGAGCTGCTAAGTCTCGATGATCCTATGGTGGATCAGATCTCCTAAATCCACTTCGACAATGGATGCAGAGGAACGTCATATCCAAAGTAAGCGAACTGTCAGGAGAGGGATCCCGATGCTGCAGTCGTAGACAGAACGCGAGCAAGAAATATCACTGGTGCCTTGCCACTCTCGAGCAAAAGCCCTCAGCTCCACGTGGGAGAGAAGGGGCATTCTCGACATGACTCTTCTTGAACGCGCGAGGGGTTTTACGTCTCAACTGATTTCGTCATCCATTGTGTTCTCCGCGGGATGTCATATGCACGAGCCCGTTTTCTCGCATTCTGGGGGGAAGTGCTTCGAATTGAGAGGCGCGATGCTCCTCCCGTACCAGAGGATTCTCAATCGCGCGAGCGAACTTTCTGCAAGAAGCTCTCCGAAGTATCGCAGTCTCCACGCCGGGAGATCTTCATTCCGGTGGGAGAGAATAGATTTTTTATTCCAAGGAGTAATAGTAAGGATAGGATGAAAATAGCTCTCGTTCGGAATGCTATCCCCTTGGCTCGATCGATCTTGTTCCGATGAGTCCCACAGCCAGCGTTGAATATTGATTCAGGATATGTACGTTTGTAGTGTTTGATCTTCAGTAATCTTCTGGACATTCTCCCAGACCCGCAGCGTCGGAACGCCGGCGCCGCAGGAATGTCTGCCAGCCCACGCGACTACGAGCTGCCGATGCTCATGTCTTGGAATTACAAGACTGCGCCGACCAAAGTGCGGTTTGAGAACAAATAAGAAGAAAACTACGATTCGTGGAGGGCGGCGAGGAACTAATCCACAATCCTTCCGCAGCGGAGCAAGTCAACTGGTCGGTGTACCAGTCGATGTTTCAGGATGCGCAATGATTTCACCATTCTCAATAAGAATTCTCCATCAGTCGATCGACCTGCCACTCATCAGCGATCTTGGTTGCTGTTCAGGTTAATGGGTTCGTTGAGCATGGGGGTATTGTCTTCCCGGCGAGCTTTCACCAGGCAGATTCCCCCGGATTCAGCCCCGAGGACGTCGACGTACGAGCTCACGGTACCACGCTCTATTGATCTCTTCGCATGTTCAGCGGAAGCAGCGTGGGTCTGTGAGCATATGAAACCACATCTCATGACGGAATTCCGTGCGCCTGATAAGAACAAATGGATCAGCGAGGTGCGAGACGGCGCCCATTTCTCTAAGCACGTCGGCGCGTATATTCCGATGCAGAGTTTCCTTTCCCGATTCATCCAAATAATTATATTATTCTCCTCTGAGGTGGGTCGTCAATTGGTGTATGAATCAGCAGTCCCTCCATCATGGCGGCGTGTGTTTTAGTCGTGGCTGTGGTTTCTACCCTCATCTTTCATGAGGACGGCCCTCCTATCAGTGATCTCTTTCGAAACCGTCCTTAGACCTGGTCTACTCCCTCGTCGCCACAAACTCAGAAATAGCGTACCAGGTCTGGAATGAATCAGTCATTTACTTTGAATCTACAGGCTTCATCGGCGTGGCAGAAAATCGCTTGTCGAAACTCTTCTTCGTAACGGGTCAGTTTGACAAGTTAGGATCGAGCTACTACGTCTCGATGCTCGTATCGTGGATTAGATCTCCTAAATCCACTTCGACAATGAATGCAAAGGAACGTCATAACCGAAGTGGGCGAACAGTCAGAAGAGGGATCCCGATGCTGCAGTCGTAGACAGAACGCGAGCAAGAAATTTCTCTGGTGCCTTGCCACTGTCGAGCAAGAGCCCTCAGCTCCACGTCGGAGAGACGGCGCATTCTCGACAAGACTCTCCTTGAACGCGCTCGGTGTTTTCCTCCTCAACTGAGTTCGTCATCCATTGTGTGCTCCGCAAGATGTCATATACACGAACGAGCCCGTTTTCTCGCATTCTGGGAGGTAAGGTCTCGAGCTGTGATTCCTTATTTGCATAGGCTTCGCAAATGTAAGAAGGCCATTCATATGCTCAAGACACCAGCTTTGAATCAGTCACTCATTTATTTTACATTTCGCATCCGGTGTTTACCCTTTCGCACCCGATTTGTTAACACTATGGAAGCCCCCACCGGCTTCTGAACCAAGAATGGCTCTGCAACATCCCATGTTACGTTTATACTTTATACACAGTTACACTCATTATTCATTTTCAGCACTCTCAACATCATCGCCATAATCACCTTCATCATCATTCGTTTCGAGGCTCTAATCTCGGACTAGAACCAGCAAAAAGAGTATATTATATAATAATTATTAAAATTATTAATAAAATAATAACAACGACAATATCGACAGCTTCGCCAATATCGACTCAATACTAACAACGGCGATAGCACTGAATGCCAGTCAAAAGTATTGAACAGATACAGTGCTCATTTTCAGCAGGGAACTCGCGCCACTCTCTATCTAACAGTTCACACTCACTCATCTAGACGTTCTCTCATCTCGCTCAATATAAGTTGTCTAATAATGTCCATAGTAACCATTCATCCGCTGACCTGGGTCGAGCGATCGAGCGAGCGAGCCAGCCGGCCATTGGCTCTCATTAACAACTAACTGCTTTCATTTATTTCTTGTGCGACAAAATAATAAATCGAGTTAGATCGAATGCTGGGCTCCTCCATAGTACGCATCGTCACAGTAGAAGGGCTCCCTGTAGGGTCGATGAAGTTGACTTGAGCAAATTGATCGTCCGGTGAATGGAGGTCTTAACCGGACCCGGACACGCAGACCCTCTTCCGGCCGAATGACAAGTTCAGGCTTCAAACGTATGTGATCTCTATGATGAGTTGCTTGTAACTGATAGCGCCGGAGAATCGTGGCACAAACGAGTTTCTCCTCCATCAGGGCGAATTTTTGCCCTGCAATCGAGGATTGTTAGAGGGACGAAGACGAACTCCCGTCGGGTCGGAGTCTCCCGCGGATTGAAGAGAACACTTTCCACTACGTTTCGCTCGCTTTTCTACTCACCTATACAATTTCGAGGCCCCGCTGAGAAGGGGACGTACGAAAAAGGATGACGTCCAATAGAGTTTTCTGGTAGAAATCTCTCAGGAATAAACGCTTCGGGGTTCGGAAACGTCCGCTTATCTCTGTGCAACATATACGTGAAGACAAAACAGGTGGTACCTCTAGGCACAGTGAATCCATCTGCGAATAATTCGAGCTGGGTTAGCGATTAGGGGTCGTGGCAAGAAAACTCGCATCTACACCACCACCGAGAACGATTGCGCTTCGAAGAGAACCCTCGCTCCGAGGTGATCGTGGATTTTGAGAGCCGAATCCAACAATCAGCAAGAATTTCGAACTCTTTGAGGAATCGGGATCGGCTCGATCGAAAAGCTCGATCTGTCTGGAGAATCGGGAGATTCAGAGCAGAGGAATGTTCGCTTCGAACGCGCTCGATCCTGCTGACAAATAACGATCATAAGTTACGGGATACGAGGTACGGCGGACGGCACTTATTATACGGTACGGAGTACAATTCACATCAAATACGGGTTTCGATACAATTTGGTGAGTTCTTTCAGTAGTAAATTCAGTCTTTTGCTCGTCCCGCGCCCATTCCGTTAGTGAGCCCAATGCTCCCGAACAAACAGTTTTCAGACAGAACATGCGACCGCTCCCTCTACCTACGAGTGCTATGAACGCTACAACAAGTGACAAAGTTTTCTGCGTCGACATGGAGGACATTTCAGACTTGAAAGCACACACGAATTATGAACACACAGTCCACCAACATGACGGAGCTTGGACAATTATAATCACAGACATGGTATTCTCCGGAACGCGGTGCAACGCCGCCCACAGGAACGATGGAACTCACCGCCGTTGATGAGCGTTCGAACTCGCGAACGCAATAACCCAAACACAAAAACAGTCACTAATAGACCTCTTCAAGAGTTAGATTAAGAAAGTATCCTCGCCAATATTCATACAAGAGTCTCCGATATCGAACAGATTGTAAGACAGGGAGAGCTTTTCATGTGAGCAAATAGCTCTCCTATGTAGCAAGACTAGAGAACACAAAACCGTGCTCGGAACTGGAGCTCCCGGATACCTATCCCAGGATCGCGATCCTCACGAGGAGCTGGACCTAACGGGCAGGAGACTCTTCGGAACTTGCACACATCAAGAGACCGCCGTCGGAGCAGCTCTCGCGCGGGATGGCAAGTCCCGGAAAAAGTTAGTTGAGTCATTAAGGTGAAGAAGTCGTAGAGCCGTAGTAGTGCTCTAGGTGGAGGAAGGAAAGTGGTGACTGAGAAGAGGCTGAAGTAATTTTCCTAGAAAAGATTCGCTGGACATGCAAGAGTAGAACTGGCGATGCTACAGCTGGAGAGAAGTTAGGCGGCCTGATGATTATTATTAGGAGGAAAAATGAAGCTCATCGTCATCCAAATACTGCGAGCGATTCGCTATTCCCATTCGAAAAACAATCACACGGATCTATGGCTTCCGCGTCGGAAATTATTATACTTGGTCGGATTTTACATGGTACATGAAGTCGAAGGTCATCAAGTCTGAAACAAATGTACTCACTGACTACTACGTCTTCTTTAAGTTCCCTTCCGATGAAGGGCACAGAAGGGAAAAGTCGCTGAGCTTCCTGCGGTGCACCAAAAACACGTTATTCGATGTCATCGACGCTCACACCTCGGACGAGGATCACGATCGAAGAGGCATGCCCTCCGATAATGAACAGAGCAAACGCAAATAAATCAAATATGAGACGTGGTGGATTGGTCGTAATCTTACTTTGATGGCGCACTCCAAATATTTCATGTTTTTCAGATCATCTGTCGTGAGGTCGCGCTCTCGATCTTCGCCAAAAATGAAGTCCAATTCATCATGGATTTTATCTTGGACATCCTGGTGCAAGGCAATCAAATAGAGGGACCATGCAATGCCTGGAATCCGGCAGTGCTGTGAGAAGAGAGCGCCGATCTCGACTATCCGAAAATAAAAATCGTTCGTCCGGGTCGTCCCGAGCACGCCTAGGTTTTCCTAGCTCACCCATGGCAGTTGTGTCGTGGCCTTCGAACATGAAGGTATCGACTTCTTCACGGATATCCTCCAAAGACAATGAATTTTTCTGCAAATGTTCGGTGAGCAAGAGATCCAGGAACGCCTTTCGCTTTTTAGCTCCGATGTGACTAGCGTCGGGAATGTCTGCTGTTTCCTTCAACCCTTCTTTGCCTTCCAGCCATGTTTCGCTCTGGATTTCTTCTTTACGTTCTTGTATCACCTAATGGAGAATAATCGGATGTCATGTTCGGCTATGACGCGTCGAATTACCACGAATATCAGTAGAGAATGATCCGCTCTGTAGTATCTGATGCCATCTAAAATCTGGCGAAGTTGTCCGATGGATAGTCATGAATGATCGGGGTCAGCACGTTTCGAATACATCGACATCCGCAAAAGAGAAAAGCTTCCGGTGGTTCGAACCTTTCGTGTGAAATTATGCAAATCTCTGAGATTGTCTTCGAAACGTCGCCCTTTAGTTGTCATCAGAAATACGAGCGGGATCCAAAGCCACGGTCGTACAACTCTATAGATGAATGTTTTCCCCACTTCGTACAACGCGCGTACGTAGTGAGATTCTGAGTTGCTTTGAGCTCCAATCTTGACACCCATTGCCGTTTCTGAAAGGGAGGTAGGCGTAGAGTGTAATTCGAGGAGGCGTCACCTGGCGCTTATCATCGACGGCTCTCAGAAGCGACTCGCCGGCAGGTATCAGGAGTGGGCCATAAATTGATGCCGAGCGACAGACTTACCGCAAATGATATCAAGAGTGCAGTTCGTGATGAATGGTACTATGTCGACTGGATTTCTATTAACATGTTTTTCCAGCAGCGACGCGAAAATCTGCGCTTGCTCATTGAAAATCGGAACGAAATCCTCTAATATCCTGAAGTGGAATGCTGGTGTGAGCATCTTCCGGCGGGGGCGCCATTTTCTGCCGCAGCTTGTGAGGAGCCCCGTCCCCAACCAAGGATGCAGCAGTGTGTAGTCGAACGATTTGTCGATGTGTTTATTACTGTTCAGTAGAACTTCGACCGTTTCTGGTTTGAAGAACGCGACCACCGGTCGGGCTCCTAGCCAGAACCGAAAAATTCTCGCTGAGTCGTAGATCTCCGCCAAGCCACACATTGTCTGAAGGAGCACTGCAACAGAATTATTCATTTAAGTCCACGTTTTTCATGCCGTCAATTCTTTTCTGCAATCATGTCTGGTCCACCTTGAGTTCTCGGTGGGAATCGGAATCGCATTGTTTATGCTAGTGCGACATCCGACAGGCACACAGCATATATTCAGTCTCGACTCACTCCCTTAACCAAATAATATCCTGATACATGATCGCTCATCGGTTCTCAGATCTCCGATGTCCGTGGGGAATCGGAGGAAAAGCAGCAGGCGAGATGGACTCTCGTCCCCGCTGTGTAGAGACCTCCCATTGTCCATGAATCTGTCCATATGTAAAGGGAGCGGGCAGCTGCCGACTTTTCTTTTGCAATATCTATAGGGATTTTCGGAGCCGCTGTCACTCCGACGCTTCCGATGCGCTTGTCGTCGCCAATTCAAGGGGAGGAAACCGCGTAACCCCCGCTCGGGACCAACGCTGTTTTGACATTATTGTTCACAGGTGAGAGACGGCTGTCTGCCGTGTCTCGGCTTTGTGTTTAAGCCCTTGAAGTCGCGCTGTCGCTTATGACGTCGTCGAAGATGGCTCCAGCCGATCGTTCCTTGTCCACGCAGCGCATCCAAGCGCCAGTCAAGGAATCGCGCAAGAGTCGGAAGATTTGTTCAAACTTCGCTACGCAGGGTCGCGCTCTATCTGCCCGTGTCAGCCACCTATTAAGCGTACTGTGCGACGACTGCGAACGTCAGCTATGGCTTCAGCTTCGACGACTTCTTTCCTGATTTGCAGTATTTATCGACAGCCGTAGCTGATCGACAGATCTCCGCTCAGTACTGGCCTCTGAAGCCTTGGATGAGACGCAGGATCAGGGTGTGCGGAGTATTTTCGGTGGCGAATCTTCTCGTTTCCGCCGAGATCTGGATGCAGTGTTCTCGCTCGTCAACGGAGGAGCTAAACTCCATACCAAGATCGGCAACGCTAAGGCTGGTGCGTCCTCAGTCCTCGCCAGGTCTCCTGCTCAGCCTGAGAGAGGATAAGAGAACACTCTCGGGGACAATCCGAGATCCGAGCGCCATCCTTCCTTCGTTTCCCATCCTCTGCCGCATAATTGAAAACGAGACGAATAGTAAGGGTGAAAGAGTGAGGAGGCTACAGCCCCATCGCTACCGAACCCAAACGTCTGTGACGAGATGGCCTGACGCAATTCACATGAGAAGACTATATATTTTGTCGCGAGAGGTCCCTTCGCGGATGCCTCAACTGTCGGACATCGCTTCATCGCCACAAGGGTCTATACGGGGGAGAATTTTTCATTTGATGTGTACAAATGACTTCGTGCGGTAGACGGGTTCACAAGTTCCATCGTTTCCCACAATCTACTCGAATATATATTCGAAAGCCTCAGAGTAGCTCGCTCGATTCTCTGCTCGTCAGCCTTTTGCCTCTTGGACAGACTCCAGACTACCATTACCCGAGCGGGATCACCGCTGTCACCTGAGCGGGCGAGATCAAATGTCGATTTTTTTCGTCTGCGATGACGACTACATGGAATCGCAGTCGCAGTGGTCTTCGCTTCGACCGCGAACACAGAAATTAGCAAGATCTGACTTTCCAGGATTTTCTCGCAAGAGGATTGAAAGTATTTGCCACGAATCCCCATCCTTCACCGGGAACTTCATCGACTCTAGCGCTGAGTTGAAGGTCGCGATTTAAGCTCATCTTGCTCAGTATCTCACCGCGCTTCAGGATCTCTGCTTTCTGAGCGACGGAAACACGGCCTCGGCCTTGATTGCAAGGCTCGCTATTGAGGCAACGTCGACTCTGAATCCAGCAGACTCGGCATACTCTTGAGAGATTCGCTGTTGTTCCTCCTTAAGGCCTACCGCTCAAGATGGCGCGAGATCTTAATCAAGACTTAATTATCCTGACGAAGATTGTAAGGTTCCGATTCGCCTCGATTGCTCCTTACGATTAAAAACCGAAACGAGACACGAAGAGGAAAACGGAGCCGTAGCTCGAATCTCGAAATCGGACCCCTCAGTCATGAGCACCCAATGAAACATGTCCTGAATCTAGCCAAGTGGTTGGGGCGACTCATCTCATACTCGGCGGATGAAGAGCTCGAGGGCATCACAGACGATTTGTCCTGGCATACACCTGGTGTAATCATGAGTTCCATATTTCTTCGTCGATTGCACGAGCGGCATTCGAGCACCAAGGGAGCGACTTGAGATCAGCGGATGAATTCATGACATGTCAGAAGAAAGACACATTCGTCCGGTGTCTCAGTCAAGTATGGATAACATACCGAAAATTCTAACGCCACACATGTGGATGGCACAAATCGAGGGAACGAGGGGCATCTTCTTATCGGCATTCCCTCGTTTACCATTATTGCTAGATAATAACACGCCCGTTGGGTAAGTATGAGGTGCGCAGTCGGTTTTGAAATAACCGTCATTCACATCTCAGTGTGCTTCTTCGAATTCGATCGGATACTCGTTTCTGTTAAACAAACTGCCTATCGAGATTTCTGATCAGCCGCGAGTCTAAGAATCTCGCGCCTCTTGTTGCCCCGACAAGACCACCAACCGTGAATTACATTTTCCTTCGGGATCAGGATCACTTGTTAGGGGGTGGACTTGCGGTCTTCTACTTTTCTCGGAAAGGTCATCATTTGGAAATACTCCAGAGCCACGAAATCGTTCACCAACGTTTCCAAAACGCTTCAAACGTCTTTCGGTGAAGAAAAGGAGAATTTCCGGAAGAGTTTTCCCACTTTCACGACAAGAGCGCCACTGATACGCAGACCCTCATATGCAAATGACTGTAATACCGACGATAGTGGTCAGGTTGCGCGTATGTCATTTCGAGGCAACTGACTAGAGTTCGACGAGAGAAAAAATCGTCGGCCAGCGATCGATTTGCTGTCTCCATTCGCTCCAACGCGTCAGGGCTGGCGACACATCGCAAGCTCAAAACGAGCTGGGCTGACGGCGCACCAGAGTTCGAGCGATCGCACCAAGTTCCTGGCTCGAGTTCCAATCTGAAATTGCTCGAATTGTTGACATGACAAAGTCATTTGTTCTCGAAGCATTGGCAGGACTTGCGCGGATGCCACGAAAGCGTATACGGGCGCCCAGAGCTCGAGGCTGAGCATAAAAAGTTTTATGCTGATCTTCCAACAGGCTGCATCGGTTACACAACGCTCAGAATACTCGCCAGCTTCTTAACGACCAGTGACCGCCCCTCGCTTCTGTTCCTCCTAATGAAGAGCAATTCCCACGATTAACCTACTTGGTTCCGGCTGATCACAAGCTGAGCGTTTTCAATCACATACAAGACCCATTCCGATCCGATCGCCTCCGATTGATCGGCACCAAGGTTGCAATCATCGAACTACTATCGTTAGCCTTATCAAGATGATCAGCATAGCGAATCGATGATCTGCACAGATAAAGCTCAAGAAACTCATCGACCGCCTCCCATCCAGTTTCGTAAGACCGACACGAGCTCCCGAAGACGCGATCCGATCAAAGGCGAAACCTCGCAGTACTCGATATACGATATATCAACGAACGCTATCCCGCCTTGGATGCATTCGTGCTTACAGCACCTATCAGGCGATCTAGGATAGTTGAGAATTTAACTGGGTGGGTGTTTGGGTATAGGACAGGGTGAAAAGGGGGCTTCACAATAGAGAGAACTCCCAGAAAATCGCCCTCTGATGCGATCGGGCCCATCGCTCTACAGAGATTACATATCGAGCTGACGCTGTGGGGAGAATGCGGCGGCTCCCAGAACGCCCAGCGGCACCGAGCGCAGTTTGGGGAGCTCGAGGAGGTCTACCTCGAGTAAAATGAGTCTTTATCTCGGGCTTGATATCCCCCTGCGACAGTGCATCGGTCTCGCGCCTGTTAGTCAACGGCAGGTATATCGACAACTTGCATTCGGATAGTTGGGGTGACCTCGCGCAGTACCGCCAGGCGAATAAGAGAGCTGAGGGCAGTTGTGTGCTATGTGATCAGATTTCTTGCACCGCTCCGACCGCGGTGGCAGCCTTGCGCAACTCTTCTTGACTGACTGTCTGACGAACGAACTGACTGACTGACTGACTCAATGTTTGAACGAATGCCGAGCCAACCAGCTATCTCGCCAGGCTGGCCGGCAAGACAGGCGGGCGGGCGGACGAGCGGTAGGATGAGCCGGTGAGTTAGCGGAGGGAGGAAACGAAAAACCGCGAGTAATAGTGTTTTAATGCAGGCGATACCTGAGTGAGCCCGACGTTCCACGAATATTCCTCTTCCGCCCAATAGCCGTGGAAACCGCAAAAGAGTTCCATCGAATAGCAGCGGAGAAAGCTCCGCGTGAAGAAAAGCTCCACTTCATTCGCTTCCCCTCGACCCATCTGAGCGTCAGCTCCTAACTTTCGCCAACTAACTCCATTAGGAGAAAACAATAATCGACTCATAATTGCGTTTCCAGCGCCATCCTAAACGTTCATGGGTCGGTCGACCGACCGACCGACCCACTTGAACTGTGAACTCTCTTTCGAAATGAGCTCGAAACGTTCCCATCCTTCAGTGCGAAAGTTTCGAATTCGATTCCATACAGACCTAGGAGGATGAGAACATCGCTTTCATTTGATCAATGATCCGCCGCGAGGAAGGATCCAATCCCTTCACGGGCGACAACGATCTACTGCAGTTTCCCGCCGGTGAGGAATCCGAAACATCTGTTTTCTTCGAGCGCCTTTCTAAAATCGCCTCCATTATGAAAGAGCCGAAATCCACATCAAACGAACAGCTTATTCTAGCGAACGAGAATGTGAATGAAAGGCTTTGATTTACGATCCGCTTCCCCCGAAATATTCCGTGGCACACGTAGTCTTGACGATTGTCGGCTGCCTTCCGTCGTACCGTGAGGAAAGCAAGCGGACGGGAGAAGAAGAAGAGGGAACAGGAATTGAAGACGCCGTTACACGCTCTTTGTTTTGGCTTTGACCTTGCTCGGCGGGTACCGGTC